CCACTGACCGCTGACGCGGCTGACTTTGAGGATCGTTTGATGATAAGATCCCGAGGGTGGCAGGTTCTCCATCGGGAGACGATCCACTTGCTCTCAAAACGGAATGTGTTTCGGCATCCGATGAGGGGATTGGTAAAGGGCGAATCAAGGCGTCTAGGGCACCTTCGTTTCGACTGTAGTCATCAGTATCCTGGTCGTTGCAGAAAAAAGGTCATCCAAACTTACCACACACAGCAGGAGGTGCTAAAGCCTGTATCTCGCCTTTCCAACCACTCTTCCACGCAAGATAGATGAGAGAGCGCTCGGCACTGATGGCAGCGCAAGATCACGCACTCATTTGCATGGTCTTCATCCTCGGTCAGGCAGAACACACAGTGGATGCTGTCGACCTCTTCACTCGGGGTGAGACTCTGGAGCGTCAATTCTTGGAAACCCGCCCAGATATTAGCGACCGACGGCAGAATAGCCGGTTGGGCCGGCGAAACGCGCCATGGAACACTGTTCGTCCGCAGCATTGTGGAAGTCACAAATGGATTGAATGGCTGCAAGGGCTCGGGGTTGGTTGACAGCCGCACCGGCGGGTTTTGTCTGAGCCTGTGAGGAGGTGACCGGCCAGTGTTGTCTGATGCAGGGCGTCGCCTGGAGGCTGAGGATGTCTGACGCTGGCCCCGATGTGCAATGACTGATGGAGAAGCCATTCTGGAGCCATGTGGTACTTGCGCCTGGTTGCGGACGGCGGCTTCATACCTCTGCTGGCCAACCTGGTCGGCCTGCCGTTGTCGATGCCATCGCGCACAGAGGAATTGATTGGCAATATCACAGAGCTTTCGTTGCAAAGTAGACAAGTCGAGCGGATCTCTCGCGAGCCTGTTCAGCTTTTGGTGGCCTAACTTTGTTTCTTCAACTTTGATCGAGTTTTTGCACGGCTCGCCTTTATTCGTCATTCCGCAACAGGTGTTAGGACAATTGGAGATGATCCCGCAGAGAACAAATGGATTCCAGTGCATCATAGTAGACATTGTAGCGGGAGCAAACGAAGAAAATGATTCGGATGGGAGTTGGTAGCGTTCCAACGCCAGCTTTATATGCCAAGGTCATGAGATCTATACGTACATAGCCTCATGGCTACAGGCATGAACCTTCTCTTTTTGAAACAATCAAAACGTCCAAGAATGCAATCTCATGCAGTATGCGCCCCTATACAGCCGACCAACGGCCTGCGAGGAGGACGTCTCATCCCAGATCACTGTTACTCACATCAATTGCAACCGTGGCTTTCCATCACAGCCATGCATTGGCGGAATGGCTGGCTGCCGCTCTAGGTAGCAGAGTCGGCAAAGTTGCGAGTTGCCTTTGGACATTTTGAAGCGCATGTTAGAATGCGAATTACTTCAACGCTGAAGGTTCTGGATGCGACCTACGGTATACATATTTCGCACGTTAATATTTCAATTCCTGGGGGCCATTGATATACTCCTAGGACCCGTTTGGGGCTTCCCAGGAGTTTGAGGCTCCTAGGGCCCATAGGACTTCTGTCCGGGCATAAACAGTGTTGTCAAGGCATCGATGCTGCTGTGCGACTGCTACACCCCTCTGTGAAGCGATGGAGGACACTCCTAACTGACCAGAGAATTTAGCTGCGGCGACTATATAAAGCCCCGCGCCACTTCGAATGAACTTCCTCACCTCGACGGCATCTGCCCTCATCCTCAACTACTCTCATCCTCATCTACTTTCATCCTCATCTACTTTCATCCTCATATACGTTGTATTTGTCGCATAGCTCCAGTCTGCTGTTTAAACATGCTTTGTATACTTGTCTTTGTTACTGAAGTTATTGGTAAGCTAATTAATCGCAGCCAAATATCAGCAGCCTCCCTACCGAGCTTTTGCTGGGTATTGCGGCGCATTTGGATGGCAGTGCGTTATTTGCCCTCGCAAGATCGTGCCCAAACCTTTATTTCAGACTGCAGCCCAGCATCTTGAAATACAATCAAGTTCCAGAATAGCAATCTGTTGCATCTTGCCGCCCAAACCAACAACGCCGATCTTGCGGAGGTTTTGCTTCAGTACAACGCCAACGCCAACGCCTTCTACCAAGGAAAAACACCTTTGATGATAGCCTTGAAACACTCTTCCACGTCTGTGTATAAGTTCTTGCTGAAAAGTCAATAGCTAGACGTCAACATCCAAAATTCCACGATAGTGCTTTGTGGTACACCGTCCACTACGGAAGCTTTTCCAATTTGAAGTGTTTATTGGAGCGACCAAACTTGAAGCTTGATTTGAAACACAGAAAGGGCCGAACGGCGCTCCATCAAGCAGTTTTATGGGGCAAATTAGGTTTCGTGCATTTACTACTCTCGACAGGCTCTGATCCTAATCTGGAGGACGATTCAGGCCACTCGCCATTGGCCTGGGCGTGCCGTTTTGATAGACCATTGATGAAAAGGATGTTCTCGTGCGAGCATGGCTCGAGATCATTACCCAGTCCTCACATAACATATGATACTGAACTGCCACTCCATCAAGCAGTGTCATCTGGGCCACCCGACGCCGTCAAACTCCTTCTTAGAGGAAAGCCTCTACATCTGAACGTTCAGGACCAGTATGGTGATACACCGTTCCATCTCGCTGTTAAAAGCAGACACCTGGAAGTGGTCACATTACTTCTGGATCACCCACGAACCAACGTGAACTGCAAAGACAGAGACGGTAACACGCCGCTTTGGCCGTCTACTTACTCATCTTGCGATGAGATAAGAGAGAGGCTCTTGGCCGAGAAAGATATCGATATCAATTTCGTCGGGGGCCGCGGGAGACACTCGAGACCATCCACATCATTGCACCACGCCGTACATGTACCACAAAGTGGCTGGCGACGACTCTCACCTCCCCGTGGTATACTCCTCGAAGCTATTTACATTTGAGAAATTATTCACGTGGCCTACCTCTCAATCCCTGGAGGCGGAGTGGCAAAGAAGGAACGCCGCTGTGGCTGCGATCTCCCGATACTGTTGTTTCCTTGAAGGTGGACCATTACGGGGGCGACGGAAACGGGCAGCACCAAGTGATGGATGCGATGAAGAAAAGACCGTGTTACCAGAGCCAGCCAAAAAGAGTTGCAGCTCTCCGGAGCATTCGGAGCAGGACATTCTTCTTGTGAAAACCGAAAATTATATCAAAAAGGCCAAGAAGCCTCGGCGATGTTTTCAATGTTATGGCAACACCCAACATCCCATTCATCGCCGGACGCAGAAGTACAGCGAATACAAGTCGACTCTACGACACTTCCGAGAGAAGCACTTACAGGATCGAAGGTGTCATGTGTGACAAAGATCTGCTACATGAGATGCATCTTCGCAGGCATGCAGAAGAGGTTCATCGCCTCAGCACTGAACGGAATTACTACGCCAAAGAAGATACGGGATCAGACATTGATACCGATTAATTGGTAAGCTTGCAGGTTTTCTGTCAAATTGAAGAATTTTTTATACTTCATTTTTTGACGCATCGACCTGAACGGTCTACTTCACCGAACCGGTTGTGTTCCGAACTGGCTGTAATCGAATGGGCCTACGTCAACAATAAAGTTATGTTCATGCGGTGCAAGATACACATACCTCCGTGCCCCAGTATCGCATTTTTTTGACATGCATGTTCGAGAATTACCTCGAGCCGTCAGCGCAATGCATTAACTTCTATCACCCTGGCGACCTGATGGGTCCCATCGAGTGGAAGGACGTAAATACACATCGAGAATGTCAAATGCGTCCAATCCTGAGAATGAAATATTTTTGGCGTCTTGTTCAACTACATTCTCAGGTATATTCACATGAAGAGACTTCATGATCTGTTCAATCATTCTCCTTTGAATCCGCATCATCTCGAACTGCTGGTTGATTACCCCTTTTTGTTGATGAATCTCGGTGGCAAAGATGCTAAGTCACCATTTAAATAAGTTTCTTGGTTAATCTTGGGGGTGCTGTTGCGATACCTCGTGATAACTCCCTGGCATATCCCCTCAAGATGGACCCTTTTCTCTGCAAGGGCTGCTAAACCCTCGCCAATTTCTTTCTTGCCGATGATAAAAAAGGGTTTGTCTAGAGATCGTCGTCGTCCAAATTCCAGCGCCTGTGAAAGCTCACGTCCAAGGATAACAGAATCTGACGCCTCCTTAAGGCACAGACCAAAGCCAGGGCTGAACTTGTCGGGAATTATTGGGCGACAACTTTCCAGGAGGCTCTGTGTGAGCTCCAGAGATTCTGATTCTCTTTGTAGACGCCTCCTGTACTGTATCAAATATACCTCCGCATTTGCAAGACTATTTGCATAGAAAATTATGGTAAGGAAAATGGCGTACGCAAGGGTTAGGATTCCAATAATGCTACCAGTCATCGAAAGAGGACTGTCTGCACACGAAAAGACTTGGACGCAGCTAGAGTTGCTGGGCATAGCTGAAGTATATAAAATATGGGATCCCGGTAAATAAAGGACGAAAAACAGCGAGGAAATTTAGTTGCGGTTAGGAAAATTTCCAGAAGTAGAGAACTAGACTACAGTATATATGTACGCATGGTCCAGGGCGCCTATCTGGGATTTCTACTTACGCATGTTGTATTTTAGAGGCGCCATCTTGAAACAAGCATTATATTACACTCCACCGAAAGCCGACGAATCGGCGTCAGAGGTTATGGGCTTAGCGCTCACTGGGCATCAAACATAAGCGCCGTGTTGCCCGAGTGTGCCTTGAGATTCTTTCCAAAACAGTTTCATTCATCAATACGAAGGCTTTTGTGCGCACCTCATCGCTCCCACAAGATATAAGCGACCAACCACCCCAGGGGCTCCAATCTTTTCTTCGAGGAGACGTCCACCCTCCTTGTATTCAGTAGCAGTCTAGCCCTTCAAGGCAGCCCTACATAATGGTGTCATCCAATCATGTAGAGCTAAAGATTGATGTTCTGAACCGCGTGTTACCTGTGCAATCACCACAAAGTACACAATTTTGTTTAGAGTACTTGCTGCAGTAAAACTATGAATGTTGTATTTTGGAGACAACGAAAGCGCCCGATACTGAAGAGTAGTGAGCATGTCAAGGTGCGGATCAACAGAATTAATATTTCCCTTTTTACTTGAGAAGTGGTCTTTCTGGGATTTGATAACTTACCCGCTTTCTTCAGTACTCCGTACCCATGAGACCATAATTAGTAACGAGCCTTGATGGCAGCAAATCTGAAGCAAACCAGAAGACTCGAGGGGTCGCAGTTTCAAACCGTCAAAAAACTGTGTCCAATCAGCCTTCCAAAGAACTATAAGTTCCCCACTATAGTGGGGCTGAGGGTCTACTTGGGGTTCAAGAATATTTTCAAGTGCGCGGTTTAGAACAAGCTCATTCAAAACCACGGTCCTGGTCCTTCCAGTACTCTTGCTGCCTAAGGCTTCACGGACACTCATCTTCTATAATTCTCATCCTTGTTCAGTTCCACGTGATTATGTATTATTAAAGACCAGACCCATAAAACGTGAGCCTTGCTGTTGTCCGAACGTGGCTGGGAATGTTTCCAAAAGGCTGGGACAAGAGTTGAGCCTTTAAACATGTAGGAAGAGTGTTTACGTCAACCTCACTTCCCAGTTCCAAAATTGGAGTTCTTTTTTTGAATCTCGGTTGAAAGCATGATGGCGAAGAATCAAGAGGACAGGGGTTCTATTCCTTAAGTAATATTTGGCAGCATGAGAAAGTCGCGGTTCGCCAGGTGGCTGTTCGAAATAGCTGTTTTCAGAGTCGCCGTTTTAAACCGCTGAAAGGGTGCTCCATCGATGAAGCACAGTGTAAAGCAAGTGGAAATTCTGGCATGTTGTGGGCAGATGATCCCACGTGTATTTCCTTTAGGTTTTTTGGGGGGTTTCAATTTACATTCCTGTTCCACCTTCGCTCTGGTCTTTCGATGCAGCTAATTGTAAGAAATTAGGAACACAGTTTCCGCCCCTGGGGTCGTTACTATTCCCTCCTCGGAGCTTAACCCCCTGGACCACGGTGGAAACTCCTGGGGGAAGGCGATCGTATGGTTTGGCTGCAAAGTGGAATCGTGGAATCGTGGAATCGTGGCTCTGATGCTGAATAAAATCTCTCAATGTAATTATGATTTGTATAATGGTTTTTCAATCCATATGTATCTTTGTATCCAAAGGTACCGAAAAGTGGGGTAAATGGCCGCGCTCAATGTTCAAGCGGGGTAGCTACCTATCCCCCTCTCTGGGTTAAACAGAAGTGTTAGTTTTATCAAGTTGAATATGGCCTCCGGATTTGAAGTCATTGGGCTAGCTCTGGCGGTCTTCCCTGTCCTTGTGGAAGGACTGAAGTTCTACATGGAGAAGAAAGGCCGTGTGCGAGATTTTATCCGTTACCGACATGTTCTCAAGCGCATCATCCGCGACCTGTCTCGTGAGCAGATCAGCTTTCGGAACTCCAGTCAGCGGTTTCTTGAAGATGTTTCCATGATCTATGGACTCAGCCCGAATGATATCCACGAGATGATGCGGGATCCACAAGACAACCGTTGGCGTAAGGAAATTCCGTTCCAGGGCGACGACCTCAAAGAAAGGTCGGTGGCTGTATATTTAGAAACAGTGGAAGATATGAATGAGGCCTTAAAGGGAATCCAAGACATGGTGGGGATTCGCGAGGACGCCCCGGTTAGTTGCCGCCTTTTGACATCCGGCTTGACTTTATGACTGACCTACTCCTGCGCCAGCCTGCGCTTTTGGGCAAATCCACCTTTCGCAGGCAGTGGAGCAAAATCATTCTGGTGATTGGCGAAGAAGATATCAGAAAGCACCTCGACCGCGCGCGTGGGCTTAATGTGTTTTTGTCTCAGCTTACAGAGCAAAACAAACCCAGGGTTCCGGCAGGTGGTCTTTTGCAAAGAAGCACCCTGCATTATGAGCAAATCCAAGCACACGCTATTGAACTCTATGAGATCTTTCAAATTAAGTTCTCGACTCCGCTGACCTGCAACTGCGCTCTTGGGCATACGGTCAATATGAAACTCGAGTTCCGTAGCGCACAGATTCTGACAGCAAAGGGACTCCACTTCCATACGATTTTTACCTTCGACCATGTTGAGCCAGATATTACACCTCCGTGTAACTGGCGGGAAATAGAGATGGAGCCACTGGGATCGTCGCGGCTTTGTCTTGATCGGCAGATTCTTCATAAGGCAGTGACCCTTACCGTAGAGTCGTCCGCCATCCAAACAACAGATCCGACTGTTTCAGAAATCTCCAACCTGTGCGCAGTCATCAAAAGGCCAATTGAAACAGGTGTTTGGCTAGGTTACCTGACCGATAGCCAATGCCACCGGCATCGTGTCCGTGTTCTAGCACTGGATTCACTTCCAGTAGCTTCATACACGATACAAACAATTTCTCTTGCTGCGGTTCTTGACCATAGAGAATTCCGCCAAGAATCCAGATGTCGGCTCGGGCTCAAGCTTGCCTCTTCTGTGATGCAGCTTCACGCAACTCAGTGGCTTGCAAATCATTGGAACAAGACAGATATCTCTTTCCCGCTCTTTTCGGATGGAAAAATTGATTTCAACAATCCACTGATCAAGCGCAGCTTCGGTTCTAAGGATGAGACTGGTTCTTCAGCATCAGTTACGTCAGAATTGAGCTATTTTGGGTATATTCCCTGCCTTTTTTCTCTGGGGATCGTGTTGCTCGAACTAACTGAACGGCGAGCAATCGAAACCATGGGGAGTAATAAATATGACAGAGTGGTACGTACTTTTGACGGCATCAGAAGAATTTCGGGGTCTCATTACTGATTAACCATGTCTATAGAACACAGAGGAAAGGGTAGTTGAGTTGGCAAAGCGACTTGCTAACTCTGCTGATTGTAGCCCTAATTATAAGAAAGTCCTAAAAAGATGTATAGGAGGCTTGGACGCAGCTTTCGAATCACTGGAGCAGGGGGCTCTTAAGGATGAGGTGGAACAAAAGATCATTCTGCCACTGGAAGAGGACCTGAAGTTTTACTGTGACAAGAACTGTATTGCAGACTGTGTGTGACCTTGCTCATATTTTGCGTTAGTGCAAGTAAATGTAGGATTGAGATAGGTTTGTAAATAGCGGACCAGTTTCAGCCAACCAACAGGCCGACCATAGTAAATATCGATTGAATCTGCCAAAATAAGGAAAGGGGGCAAAGAACCAATGCCTCTCAACTAGATCTTGTAAACCTACTTGCCATCTGGGGATCCTGGCCAACGTCTGATAGCCACTAGTACAGTGAGAGTCGAAATCAAATTCCCCAAAGGACACTTAGGCGTTGTTTGTCAGCACGTACCCGAAACCGCCCTAATCTATATTTGGCTAAGCCGTAAATAATCATTCTCTAAAAATACATCTCTTTTATTTCTAGAACAACTATGTGACGTATAATACTATAGCTTACCGGAAACCGAAATACACGTGCGGCATCTGTGCCACGTTCTATGCCCATTAACTTCCCATTCTCCAACATCCGTCCCCTTGCAACACTAGCATCTCGAGAATTGCTCGAACTCTCTACATTCCTAGCACCAAGACTGCCTCCCCCAAAGCTACATTTCATTAATGATATGATACACAGCTAGTCACTAACCACGTCTCAAATGGCTAACGCGGCTGAATGCAGTGAACGGACTATTAAAAACATCCGCAGCAACTTGCGGCAATTCGGAAGCATTCACGCCCCTCCAAATCGTGTCGGTCGGAGACGAAGCATAGCCCCACCGATGCTAGAAGCGCTGTGCTATTATCTACTTAAAAACCCGGTCTTTATCTCGATGAAATAGTCATCTTTTTGTGGGACGAGTTTCATATACTAGCGACGACCTTAAGCATTAGGAGGGCCCTCGCGTCTAAATGTTGGTCTAAAAAAGACCACTCGGCAGAGGGCTATAGAGCGGAACGCAGAATTACGAGTAATTTATCTTCATAATCTCTCAGAATTTAAGTCGTACCACTTGGTCTACATTGATGAGTCTGGATGTGCTAAAAGAATTGTCTTTAGACGCACAGGCTGGTCACCACTCGGTATTGCCCCTATACAAGTGTCACAGTTTCACCGTGATGAGCGGTATCAAATACTACCCGCGTATGCCTAAGATGGGATCTTGCTTTCTCGTATATTTCGCGGTTTAACGGATACCGCAGTTTTCGAAAATTTCACCGACCAGCTTCGCCACTGCGGAAGATGGCTAGAGCCAAAGTCTGTCCTTGTGATGGATAATGCATCGTTTCACCACACTGAGCATATTGCGCAGATGTGTGCTGATGCTGGGGTCAAATTAGTATATCTCCCTCCGTTTTCACCAGACCTCAACCCAATCGAAGAGTTTTTCGCTGAGCTCAAGGGCTTCATAAGACGCAATTGGTGCTACTATGAAGATGATCCGGATCAAGGATTTGATTGCTTCCTTGATTGGTGTATTACTACGGTCGGGGCAAGAGAGGAAAGCGCTAAGGGCCATTTTTGGCACGCAGGCCTGACTATTGAAGATTTGGATGATTGACAATTTGTTCCTGGTGACGTTATTTCATTCGGCGAGGTGTGTCGCATCGAGTCTGGAAAGCAGCTACCCCGTCGCCCCATACGTATCCACATTAGAATGCACCACTTCCACAATCGAAATCGTTCCACTAATCGTTTTCGAAATCCAAACCAGAAAGGCGCCACCCTCTTGCCAACCCTACGTGCCTGTATTTTATTGGCAGTACATGAACAAATGAGCCATCGTTCTAAGAAAGGTATACAGTCGCTAGCGAAATCAGCTTCCGCCCGAAACATGGCCTTTCTATTCTCGGGCTTCTTTACAATTCCGGCAACTTTATAGAGCGTTATATATTTAGGGGATTGATACAGACACCACCCTTTGGATGCTAAGTTAGCATCCAAAGGGTGGTGTCTGTATCAATCCCCTATATTTATAGACTTGGACAGGTTATCAAAAGTAATAGGAGGGTAGTAGGACTAAGAAAACGGATATTTCTAGCCCTTCTAGATTTTATTATAGATGATTAGCAAATTAATTACAACGTACTCATTTGTTTTAGTTATTACTTGTAAATTAACCTAATCGTGTGCTCCACATTTACAGGATTTTTGCCAACGGGGGTAAGTGCTATTAGGGAACTAGTCACCATGTTCGTCAAAACCCACCTGCCCAGTCTCAAGTATCAGCTTCACTATCGCCTCATGCCCCGACTCTGCGGCAAGGGATAATGCTGTCCCACTCAAGCTTGTTTTGTTCACATTCACCTGGCCCGTCTCAAGTAAGAGCTTCACCACCGCCTCATGTCCATGCTCTGCAGCCTTAGTCAATGGCGTGAATCCGTAGTAGCTACTTGCGTTCACATCCACCTGTCCAGTCTTAAGTAATAGTTTCACGACAGCCTCATGCCCACCTCCTGCGGCGTGGGTGAATGGTGTGTAACCTTGCTCGTCCTTTGACTCCAGATCCACCCCCCCAGTGTCAAGTAGCAGTTTCACCACCGCCTCATGTCCACCTCCTGCGGCATCGGATAGTGGTGTGGAATCGAAGTTGTCCCTTGACTCCAAATCGACCTGCCCAGTTTCAAGTAACAGTTTCACCACCGCCTCATGCCCACCACTTGCGGCGTGGGCGAATGGTGTGCAGCCCAAATTGTCCCTTGACTCCAAATCGACCTGCCCAGTTTCAAGTAACAGTTTCACCACCGCCTCATGCCCACCGCTTGCGGCGTGGGCAAATGGTGTGTAGCCCAAATCGTCCCTTGACTCCAAATCTGCTTGCCCAGTTTCAATTAAGAGCTTCACCATCGCCTCATGCCCAAATTCTGCGGCACGGGATAATGCTGTCCCCCGAGATTCGCCTCGGCGTGCTGCTGTCCGCTGAGGCGAGTCTTTCGCCATTATGTTTGCCCCTGCCTGGATAGACCTTCGAGCTGTAGCAATTTTTCCATGTCGAGCAGCCCATAGCAGTGCCGAAGATTCGGAATTCTGAGAATTTCTTCGATATAAGTAGAGATTTAGGATGTTGTAGAATTGTTTGTTGGTTTGAGCTAATGAGTTAATATCTCTTTCTGCCTCTAGGAATGTCACTAATAATAGGAGTAATTCTGTCGGCAAATGGAGGAGAGACATTTTAGGAATTCGAGGGCTGTCGGAAATGTTGGCGCCTCCATGCATGAATCATGAAAGTGAGGGAAAATTATGCTTGAAAAATAGCTTTGGAAACTCTGTGTGTGCATTCTCAAGTGAGGAATATTTATTTGTTTTGTGGGTTGCTCCGGAGAAAGGGATTACGGTGCAGGTGGATCAAGCCATCGCCAGATCTCTCCCCAAACTGCCAGAACATTCTGTGGATATTTACAGTATTTTACAATGATTCGCTAAACGCTGAAATCTAGTACGTTGCGAGACGCGATACGGCTAAACAGGGGTTGTTTACAAAGTAACCCAATGGGAACTAGCGTGGTTTCGGGTACGGGCCGAGAAACAAAGCGTGTATGTCCAGAGGGGAATCTGTTTTCGACTCCAACTGTACCAATGCGACGATGTGCTTACCCCGCTTCGCTCTGTCGCCTTCATCTTCACCCTTTTCAACCTTTTCACCCCGACAGACCATGGACGTCCAGTCAAAGAAGGAAGTGGCAACGCCTGTACTTGAGCCAAGAACACCAATTTCTTCTCTTCTTGAGCTTTGCACCTGTCTTTTTGCAACACTAATCAGTACCTTATCAAGCCAAGACTCACCCACTCATCTTGTCCCCTGCTTACAGGAGGAGCTAAGTCGATTAAGAGTTTGGGCGGGCAACCTTGGTGCGCAACGGGAAGAGAACGATGAGCAATCTTTGGAATATAGTCTAAAGGATGCGCCTGAGCTACGTCGCGAGGTAATTGACCACTTCCATGACCTTAGTGAAGCCATTCAAGAAGGTACGCGTACTCAACCAGCCAAGCTTTGTAAACAACATCTAATCCGACCAAGCAACGAGTATCGCGTCTGGAGAGGAAATACAGTTTGCCACCGATACTTCTGATTCTGAAAACGAAATATCAGATCCAGGCCGCGTTAGAGCCCGTGAGGAACCGAAGCATGGAGATGGTGACTACCATGAGTTGGAAGAGTATCTCGAAGATATTCGGCATACCGTCACAAGTCTGTCAGTATTTCGTTTTCCTGAGCCCTTTCCTCTCATAGCACATAAGCGGGGGATTAAACAGAAGCAGTTACCGATTCGCGAACACCCTTGAAAACCCGGCAGGTAATGTCCGAGTGTGGGGATCGGCGGACGTGAGGCCTTACGAGACAGACAGCCCGATTTTGTGGGACATTGAAGGAACAGCTATTCCTCCCAACTTTCAACATTCGACGGCAGACGTCATGGACAAAAATCGCAATGAATATGATGAAATACGTCGGGAACCTCTGCAGTTGCAGGAAATGATGCAAAAATCAGAGGAAATGTTGTTGAATATTGAAGGTGGTGCTGATTTCGACTTCGGAAAAGAGCTGCATGGTCTGATCAGTGTTAAGGAGTTCGATGATATTACACTTAACGATCGCTTTGCTTGCAAAGAGGCAGACAACATGAAGTCGCACCGACCTAGGGGAGTTTTAGATATGGATGACAAGAAGTTTGAGGTCTGGTTTGAATGGAAATCAGTTGATAACGTTACCAAAGGCTCCAGTGAGGACAAAAAGTCCAGGTTACTTACAGCAATTCTTGCACAGATGCTCCACAGCAACAAGCCACAGCACTTTTATTCACCAAAATGCATCGGATATGTTGATGATCGTGAAAGACATAACCGATACGGATGGGTATTTATGATGCCCAAAGGGTCGGTCAAGGACACCACATTGAAGAGTCTTCATACTATCTTGGGTCAGAGCCACTTTAAGCCAACTCTCGCGCAACGAATTTCTCTCGCTTGGAAGTTGGCCTCCACTCTACTGTATCTGCACTCCGCAAATTGGCTACACAACGGGATCCATAGTGGAAATGTCGTCTTTTCGTTTGATGGGGAGACCTTCGATGTCGAGAAACCCATCTTGTCGGGATTTGAGTATTCACGACCACAGAGCCACAAAACGACCTATCTCAGCCTTGATCCAATATGGGATATTTATCGATGGCCAGGTATTCAGATTGAGGCATCGAAAGCAGATAACCCTCGAAGGACATATGATATTTATAGCCTGGGCTTGGTTCTTCTCGAGGTTGCGCATTGGAAACCTTTGCACGAGATGATGCGTCTTAAAAAATGGCCCGAACCTTCTTCTCAAGACTGCAGAATCCGTGCTTGGCTTTTGGGAGAAGAGCGCTTCCCTCCTTTTAAGAGATCCAACCCTCTGCTTGAATTGCGCGATATCGCAGGAGAAAAGTACTGGAAAGCCACCAACCGCTGTCTTGTAGCACACGGCGAGATGGGGATGTGTATTCAAGAAGAAGCTGATCAGGCACATGGCACTGAGATCGGGGTTCGGCTTCATGAAGCCTTTACAAATCTTGTAGTTGATGAACTCAAAGGTGAGGAACACGTGGTTAAATTGATTCCAGGAGAGAACAACTCAACTCTGTCTCTAACTACCTGTGCAGACGCGTCGATTGCGGCAGATAGTGCACAGGCCAAGGGATTTGAGGATATCGTCTCAGAACACCAGCCTCAACAAATAATTGTCTCGACGCTTGGAGATCTCATCTCAGCGAGGCGGGTCGTTGTTGGCCCTCGGGATTTGCGATGCATTGGCCAGAGGTCTGATGAAACTAGGGGAAAATTGCCGCAAGACACTATTGGAAGAAGTTCCGGTGATAATTTGAAGTGAACTCCAGGCACTCTAACCGTATATCAATTTCAGTATGGCGCCGGGAATCAACTTGGGAAGTGGTTGGATAAGAGAAATGTCCTAGCATTTGGGGGTTACTGATAGTTCCAGAATTCAGTCGATGCTTTAAATACGGATACCTCACCAGCTCAGAGGGGATATTGTTAGCCCCTAGTGAGACCCTAATTGTCCATAGCTATTATTTGGCACGATGGATGAGGATTCTATAGGACAGAAAGGTTACCAGTGGTCTTTTGCGCGTTGAGCAATACGTGGGCGCTAAGACGGCACGTACAGGACCTTTATACGACCTCGGGATCAACCAAGAAAGGGCGAATGTCAGTGATTACCGCACCGCGGTCAGCAGGTTAAGCAGATGTTTTGGGCCGCTTTCTCGGCCTCTCGACGCACGGATTTAATACCTCTATTCGGAGATCCTGTATCAGAGCGTGGCGGCATTAGTCGCTTTGTAATTGAGGAGCTATATCGCCGGGTGCTTCCTACCTTACTACCTACTGAGGATGATATCTTTATGCATGATAACACACCAACGCATACTGCGTACGTTGTACGCGATGCGTTAGCTGAGATGGAGATCGAGGTAATGGTCTGGCCGCCTCATTCGCTCCTTGATGCCTTCTTGGAAGCTGTAATGTCTGTTTCCGCCGATGGAGGCTACCGAGCGCTCGGTCTTCGGATGATGACCTAGGATGACGTTCAGAGCCAGAACAATTTCGGGCTTGGAGCTCAGCATGCTCCCTGCATTGGTGGAAGTGAGGTGGCTGATAAGGTCTGCCGGGTTCATGTCGCCTGTGTGTTGGAATGGTAACCTTGTACATATTCGGGTACTCAGGGTACTCTTTATCGTTTGTATCTTTGTAGCGAACATTGAACTGGCCTTCAGCAAGCTTGGGCACTGAGATAAGTGTTGAGCGATAGTCGGTTGCAATGACGTTCAAGTTAGCAGAATAGTGCTCCTCCAGCAGGAGACGCACGATGTGTCGTGCTTTTCTGCCAGCAGGCTCCCGGCCGCCCTCTGCGGCGATGGAGACATGATAGCGATAGATTGGTTTAACCACTGAGGTAAAGGGCAGATAGTTGGCGTATAGCGTAACAAGCCGACCGAGAGTACCGTATCCTGGCCGGTCGGGATATGCCCGGGCAGCGTTCTTTCCATTTTTCTGGCGACTGGCAACGAGCGCCTTAGCCACGGCGTCTTCCGTCTTGACGACGGTGGCATCAGGCGGAGTAACAGGTTTGCCCTCACTGCGGGGATTTTAAGGTTAGAGTGATTGCTCGTGAAATACAGAGACATATCATTGTATAGAGGCTATGAAAGCTGTAATACTCAAAGATACGAGGGCCCTGAGGACCACCACCTCGGCTGCGACCTCGGAAGTCTCCACGGCCGCGATGATCACCACCACCGCGGCCCCCACGATCAGAAGGGCGAAAAGGGAGGCCCTGGAAATCTCCGCGGCCTCGGGCACGTCCTCCGTGACCACCTCCGCGGTCCCCAAAGTCTCCGCCACGAGATCCTCGACCGCGACCGCCGCGGCCGCGGGGTTGATCTGACATGACGTCAAGCTGAGGGAAGCTGGACTATGAATTGAACAGTAGATAAGAAGGAAGCGGAGAGAGAGAAGAGGTGATGTGGTGTGAGGCTGTGAAGAAGAAGAAGTAGAGAGGTTGTGAGGATGTTTGTTCGGTAGCTCCGTTAACCCCTCCCTTGCCTGGTGCTAGCGCTAGTCGTGTTCAGTGTCCTTTTCCGCCGCAAATGACTCGCCCGCCTCATCTAAGACTACGCGCCTGTAAATCGGCACGAAATAATATGGTTAAGTCAGGGTCGTCAATCGAAGAAGTCAGAAATGGTCCCCCAGCACGAGAGAAAGAAATGCCAGACGAAGTTTACTTAGTTTACGTCCAACTTAACCGATTTCAAAGGACTGAATTGTTTTGACTCATAGTATCGCGTGAAGCTGAATCTATTTAATTACTTATAATAGCAAGGATATCCTGAACGCGCATGAATTATCCGTACAGTTAACATATTAGGAAAGAGATGTATTGTATGGCATGGATCTTCAGCCCTCCGTTTTCCAATCCAGCAACATTCCAAAACTTGATAGAGTGTGAGGATGATTTGAGCCAAGTGTCCGGTGCTGTTGGGCAGCACAAGCTCGTATTAAGTCGATGGCTTCAGAATTGCGACCTAAAGTCTTCCAGGTGAAAGCAACGTCGGCCATGCACATGAGCGTTTCAGGGTGGTCCACGCCGAGCTTCGTCTTGCGCGTTTCCATTGTCTGAACAAGGAGCTGCTCAGCCTCTTGCCATCGGCCCTGCTTCAGGTATGTCGATGCCACATTATGCACACTCTTCAGTGTGTCAGGATGATCATCGCCGATCTTCGTCTTGCGAGTCTCCATAACCTGCAAGAAGAGCTTCTCGGCCTCTTCCCATCGACCTTGGCTCCAGTATGTTGATGCCAGATTGGTCATGCTCGTTAATGTGTCTGGGTGATCATTACCAAGAATTATCTTGCGAGCCTCCATCACTCCTATGTTGAGTTTTTCTGCCTCCTCCCATCGGCCGCGGTTCCTATACGTTGATGCTAGGTTTGCCAAACTTGCCAGTGTTGCAGGATGGTGTTCGCCAAGATTCTTCTTGCGAGCCTCTGCCACCTGCATATGAAGGTTTTCGGCCTTCTCCCATCGGTGCTGCCGCATATATGTCGACGCCAGGTTGTTCATGCTGGTAAGAGTGTCGGGGTGGTTCTCGCCAATATTCCTTTTGCGAGCCTCTATCAGTTGTATATAAAGCTTCCCGGCATCTTCCCACCGGTCCTGGTGTGTATAAATCCACGCCAAGTTATTCTTGCTTGTAAGGGTATCAGGATGATCTTCGCCAAACTTCCTTTCGAGACTGCTGACGATCTGCAAAGAGATTTTCTCAGCTTCCAAATATCGCCCTTGGCTCATATATGTCGACGCCAGATTTCCCATGCTCTTCAGCGTGTTAGGATGCTCTCGGCCAAACTTTGTCTTAAAGATCTCTATGACTTGCAGAAAGAGCTCTTCGGCCTTGTCCCATTGACCTTGGCTCATATACGTCGATGCCAGGTTGGCCATACTCGTGAGCAGGTCAGGAAGTTCTCCACCGGGCTTTGATTTGAAATACTCTACCACATGCACAAAAAGCTGCTCTGCTTCTCTCCATCGGCCCTGCTCCAGATAAGTCGATGCTAAGTTAGCCATGCTCTTTAGCGTATCAGCATGGCCGACGCCGAGCTTGTGCTTGTGAATTTCCAGGACTTGCACCTCCAGCTGCTCCGCTTCCCGCCATCGGCCCTGTTGCCGATATGTCGACGCTAAGGCGGCCATGCTGATAAGTGTAGCGGCATGGCCTACGCCCAGCTTCGTTATGCGAGTCTTCATGAGCTCCACCTCCAGTTGAGCTGCTTCCTCCCACCGGCCTTCAAGTGTATGTGCTGTTGCTAACATCGCCGTACTTGCAAGTGTGTCTTCATCTTCGCCACCTAGCAATCTCACTCTCTGCATTCTCGATTTGAATGCCATGTTTCTCGCATCTTCGATGTTACCAATTGCCGATGCAAACCATGCACCTTTATAAAGCAGTGTAGCCCATTGTAGTAGCAACTCTTCTGATTTTGGCCGTTGGGACATTGCCGAACGAACGTGGGGAAATAGTGCCCGACATTTTCCCCAATTCTCATACTGACCGGTAGGGAACTCGCGGTACAAAACACTGATGAATTTTTCCTTCCATAGATTTAGTTTGTTATGAGCCTTTAGCCATGCACGTGTAGTCAGTTGCACCAGTCGATGCATTGTGAAGGAAGTGCCGCACTCGCTGGTATATATGAATGAATAGTTTCTCAACGTTATAACATCGTCTTCAAAATCAAGACATATACTAGGTTCAGATGATGTCTCCTCGTCAGTGGAGTCGTTGTGGAGCTCTGAAGTAGATGTGTAACTGGCCTCTGGGTGGCTTCGAATGAGGTTCTCTGGTATCTCTTGCCGATCGAAAAAGCTCATAAGGGAAAGTAGATCCGTCGCAGATGCTCTTTGGCGTTGAATATGATTGAATGATATTTGCCAGGTCACTAGAATTGAGTTCTTTGCTTCCCAATCCCTATCCAGGCAATCTGTCTCTCTCTGCAGAAGCTTGATCGCTTCGCGGTCACTTGTTTGGAAGTCTCTGAGATATTGTGATACCGAACAGCGAGGTGCTCGAGTTCTAATATAGCTAGCCGCCTGGACAATTGCAAGCGGCATGAACTCGAGCGCTTCAACTAATTGTCGACTGTGTTGGTCTTCCTCTGACTGTTCAAGCTTTTTTCGGAGAAGCTCCAGCGCCTCAGATTGTTCCATCGATTTGACTTCAATCAAGTTCTTAGGTGCGACCATCTTTAGCGCAGCCTCTCTGCTCCGACTTGTGATGATGAGAGATCCATTTCGGCTTTTGGGGATATATTCCAGAAGTGGTTTCGCTCCATTGGCGGCTGCTGGAAATAAACAGAGGTACTCATGGTCGTCGGCATTATCCAGGATACAGATCCATTCTCCTCTCTTCTCATCCCGTAGCCAATTTCCGACCAATTTAAATATGTTAACTTTGGGACCCAAACGATTTGGGATCTTAAGCTGGTCTGCGATGTCGCGAAAACTCTGCTCGAACCGGGCTTCGTTACTCGCATGGACCCAGAAAACCCATGTTGCTGGCGATTCGCATCGGACCCGATAAGAGTATTCGATAGCCAGTTGTGATTTCCTTCGAGTTGTCAGCAACGGGCCATATATGGGTCGCTCTACACCTACCCGACACCGCCGAGGCCGACCAGCGCTATTCTCGATCCAGGGAACGAGCGTTTGTGGTGGATCTGATCAAGCAGTGTGTCGCGACAGACAAAGTCTTGATCACGCGGGAATGGGACAGTTGATAAGGGGCTAGGCGGAGTTTCTGGTCGCTCTAGTTTGAGAAGTGTTAGTCTGTGCTGGCCGACATTTTTGAGTTCCTAAGCTTTACCAGGAGAATGGAACTCTGCGTGAATCGAGCCGTAGTTGTCCCCAATCTGAAGTCCATGGTTGTTGCCATCGAATGATACTGACGCCATGGATGCCATGATGGACAAGCATACGTCTTACGCATCTCATCTGAAGCGATGCAGTTTGGCTCTCAGCTTAATGAGGGGTAAACACCCATGCCACCGTTATCAGACTCCGGCGCTAAGGCTGGATCAAATACTGCGCCGGTAGAGTTGTGTCAACTTTAAATTTATGTCTCATGAAAGAGGTGCTCAAGGGTAGGCGTTTATAGTAAGTATTTCAGGTGATACAAGTCCTGCGATACAATTTTGGTTTCGTTAATGCCCACACCGACGCGTCCGATTGAGAACAGCATGATTAGTCATCTCCTTGGAAGCCAATCATCGACCACGATGTACTTACCTATCTATATAAAGGCCGTGGAGCGCACTTCGTTTGCATCCTTAGCATCACCTCCTTACCCTCTTGAAATAATCTGGTACGGCCGAGATTCAATAGTATGGAGCTGCTGCCTACCGAAATCCTCTTCGGCATTGTGAACTGTCTTGCCAATCGAGAAATCAAACAGCTTTCACTCACCAGCAGGCGAATGAGGGACGTGTGCTTACCCGTCCTATTTTGCAAAATCAGCATTGAATTTTCGAATAAGAGATTCGACTTGTTGGAAAGTATTCTGGAATCAAACGTGCATCGATATATTGTCTCCTTTGAATACGTCGTCCCAATGTTGCTAAATCCTGGTAAGGAACCCGGGACGAATCATCTATGGAAGCAAAGACTAATCTTGAGCTAGAGATACGAAATTATGATGTTTTCAGAACAAAGATTCTCACTCCTGACGATTATGCCGATATATGCGAAGAATACGATGACGTGTGCAGTCTTGAGGACTGGGACGAACTAGAATATATTTCAGGCGATCACCCTTCATACACGTGTGTTTATAAGACGATACGACGGACATGTGCTGAGCAACAAGAGATCATAGAAGCAGGAAGAGATTCAACTTTGATGAACCTTGCTTTTAATCTCCTCTTTAACTTGAAAGAATTGGTATTGGTATTTCGTGACACCAAGGGCCACGAGGATTGGGAGAGGTATTACCACGAGATGTTTGGTATGGCACAACCGAGGTCTTATGAGCACCATATTCAGCTGTTATTGGCTGCCCTCAAGGGTCGCAAATTGACTTTAAAGGTCATTCAGCTCACCTGTCTCAAACCTCGCAATGATTCTCCATGGCAGAGCTTCCATTGGGACTCTTTGACGACTCCTCTCACTGAGCTGGTTGGATACGCCCCATGCCTGCGACTTGTCGAAAGTGGGATGGCTTTGACACTACTGCGTCGCGTGAGTCTGAATTTACGCGAGCTATCACTGTGCTCAATGTATATGAAGCTGGCCTTTATGGAGAGCTTTCTACGATTTAACGCTACGTCCTTGCGCTCTCTCAGTGTTCATGATGCCAAAGCCTTCGACCAGGGAAATGCCGCCCATCTAACTCCGGCGCATGTTGGAGACAAGACCGGTTTGATCATTGAAAGAGAAAAGAAGGCGGGTAACCTCTCATGCTCGTGCTCCTTCCAGGAGGGATGGAAGTTGTTCTTTTCTGCCCCGAAGCCAGGAATGAATGGGTAAGGGAGAGCTTCATAGAAGGGCCTAAGGCCATAGTTACTACGTAACCTGACTCGGCCCAATCGCCTTACTATCATTCCGTAATGTGTATCTTTGAACGCCGTCAGAATGCAAGTTATTGTTCGTAGCTATTAAAGTAAACGATAGTCTCGCACTAGTATCATTGCTAAGCCAGAAATGCTTCCGATATAAGGTCTACTACAATCAACCTCTTGAACTGCATCCAAATATACGAACAAAAGAATCACCCCCCAAGGCCACAAATCACTGGGCTCGTAATCGCTTTGACCGACGTGGCGTACATAACACTAGACGCTTTCGATTTGCCTGGCCGTCCTTTACCCTTCTGCTGCCCCCCAGGCTGCTCTTCTGGGCGCTGAATTTTTCGAGACGAGCGCGTCGCATGCTGTGATGAAGATTCCAGCTTAGGACAAGGTTCTATATTTGCCGCCTTTGCTGTTCCCCTCGTCACTCGCCGTGCAGAATTCTCCGCCGAATTTAAGTCAGTGGTCGCCACTGGGCATCCAGAAGAGGAGGCGGAAATGTCGGTTTTTGACGGGCAGGCTGATGGCTTCACGACGGTGATAGGGCCGGGCCTCATCAATCGAGGATCAATGTTTGTCATATCAAAATCGACGGAGGAGGCGGGAGTTCCAGTGCCTTTCCGATTCTCTGATTCCATAGATGTTTCCCTGGAAGAACCGTCACCGTGGCTAACCCGTGGCCTTTCGGTGAGATGACATAGTTTAATATTGATATCATATTTGTGTTCTTTATTAGCATGGGCTAAAAATTCGGTGATTTTGGCAAACTTGGGAAGAGTGCGACATGCTTCCCAGTTGCAGCTGATCCCGTCGTGTGCATGAAGCAGATGAGAGTCGATGAGATGACGACGAAGTGAGTCCGGTCGCTTGGAAGGAAATTTATGCGGAGGAGGGTTCGAGGCCAAGCGACGAGATTCACCAAAGCAGATGATGCAAACATCTGTTGGACATATTTGCGTATCATCATCAGATGCCAGTTGCTCGGGCTGTTCAATAGGTATGTTTGCCTCTTCATCGAGATCCCAATTAACACGGTTGCCTCGCCTGCTCGGCTCGCAAAGCAGTAGAAGCGCAACCATGTCCTTGGTAACCTGAATGCGTCGAGTAAGTAATTTGTCCACATGGAAGTCTACTGCGTCAGGACCGTAAAAGTTCTCCACAAGCCGAGCTCGTTCAGGAAATACGTAGTCCGGGATAGGGAGCTCCCAGTCTTCTTCAGCGGAACTATCAGCATCGCGTTCCTCAACATCAGATTCGCCGAGAAGCATTTGCTTGATCTGCCGGTCAACTTCAATCACGGGAGCATTATTAAAATAGTCCTTTCTGGCTGTTTCGCGAGTTTCGATCGCCAATGTTTTCCGAAGTTTGGCCAGGTCTTTTTTGACAGTCTCATGCCTTTGGAAGAGGTGTGGAAAGGCGTCACGGGCGTTCTTGGTTGTGCCAGCCACGGACCGCATCTCCGCCATAAGCTCTCTTTTCTCGCGTCTCAGTTGCAGAATTTCAGGGTTTTGGCAAATAGCACGTTTATGAGCTTCGGTAAGATCAGATGGTGCCGATAAATCTCTCTTCCTAAGCATGCTCCCAGCGAAGCGTACCAGACCTTCTTGGGAGGACCGAAGAAGAACGACATGCTGAAGGTCGCGCGCAATAAATTGTGATTGGTAATGCTTTTCAAACACCGCGTCACCAGACTGCCCGAGCACCCTATTTGCGTTGCAGGCCAGTCCCTGCTTTCCGCCGCTGCTGCACATGGACGTGTCAACACGGTGGCGAGGTTGTTGAAAGTGGAGGAGGTGGACATTAATGGACGGGGATTGGCAGATCCACCCATTTGTCGAGCGGCCGCACGAGGCCACCTTGATGTGGTCGGACTCTTAGTGCAACAAGGCGCACGTCTGAAGATCAATGAAGGAACTATCGCTAGTTACGACACCGCACTTTGCATTGCCGTCCGTGATGGGGATTTGGAGATGGTCCGGGTTCTGCTTCTTCATGACCAGATTGATGTCAACCTCACGAATCGGTGGCTCGAGGACCCTTTGATATTGGCAGCCAAGAGTGGGCATCTTTCAATTGTTAATGAATTGTTATGTGATCGCAGACAGAAAGGTGGCAGTCTGAGGAGATCTCTGGATGCCGCAAGGGACGACTGCATCCGGAGGGCCATTCGGAGCAGGATAGAAGACCGCAACTCCCGCCAAACGTTTTTGGCGCCGTCGCCAAGAAGAAGCACGGGTGGTGGTCTGTAAGAGCTAGTGATATTCACTTTAGGTAGCTAGAGTGATATGGCGCGAGATTTGCTACTCCAACATCAGTTGATAGCAATACTTGGAATCGAATTATCGCATTCCCACGCCTCGAATGGTATGCAGTCGCAAAAAACGTCACGGTAGAATTTCAACCAGCTCTACTAGCACCCAATGTATCCAGAATACACTTGCAGACTACCATTAGGTGATGGTTTCTGCAATATTTTGTTTCAAGGTTTCATCTGTCATTCAGTTCTGCATATCACTGAGAAATTTAGGGTGAGCAACAGGTGAGGTCGAGCGTCAACAGTTGAGGTAACTATTTACTGGCTCTTTGAACGCGGTCAAAATCAGGCCTGGAAGGTCATGGGTGGCAATAGATATGTGATAAGCGGTGCGAATAAGTGTATCGTTGCTCTCTTCGATAAAACGCAGGGACCTTATATTGTACTATCGTCGAGACGTATGTTTACTAGCATAAAGCTGATGTGGCTGTTAGTTAAAGTTGTTCTCTTACTGCTGTGCAATTGATCATTATGGGCTATGTGGTGAGATCCATGAGCTGAAGAAAGGAAGGAAGAGAGAGAGAGAGAGAGAGAGAGAGAGAGAGAGAGAGTGTGAGTGAGTGAGTGAGTGTGTGTGTGTGTGCATAGATTAGAAGATTCGATGAGGCTACCTCAGCTTGGCCATCACCGTTTGCAGTCTCCGTTCCGTACAAAGCAATGTCCAGTAGATAAGGCTCCTGGCTGTGTTTCAGTTTCATTCGGTTGGAATCCTCCTGGCCAAGTAGACTGGAGGCGTCAGCTCTCGGGGATTTGCGCAGAATTGGAGCGTGACTTTTCCTTTTGACAAAGCCCTCAATCACCATAGCCATTTGAGGCAATGCATTGATTGGCAGAATATTGAGATGAGATGTTGTATCATAGTTTTGGTGTGTACATTGCAAGTGAAGGTGTTGCAAAAATCCATTAGAAGTCGCCGGAATCGCTACCAGGTCGACGGGGTTGGCTTCAGCTGTGGGTGCGAGGTCGCTTCCTAGGGTTGCTAAACTTCTTGTCTAGTGGTCCGGCACGTTTATCAATAGAATCCTCGACACTTTGCAGGTAGATTACAAAATCGTAATAATGGATGAATTCCAGGTAGGTCTTGTCAGCCTCGTCGCGGACCCTATTCGACAGATGCTCAAAGAGATGGCGCATGCGATCACGCTCAGAGAAATCATTGTCGAAATGCGGCTCCCATTGCTGCAACCAGTTGGAAAAATCAGTCACGGACTGGGATGGGCGCTGGTAGCTATTTATGTAGCGCGCTTTGGCCACTTTCGGATAGACTCCATTCTGGAGCTGGTGAATAAGGAAAGTGCAAAATCGACCAAATGTAACTTGTTCACTGGGCCTTTCGCGTATCTGTCGCTTCCACTTATCTTCCAGATTAAGGGCAACGTGCTTTAGGGCCCGGGTGACTTTGCGCTCGTCGGTATTGTACCAATCTAGATATCTGTTGAAATGACACTCCAGGCTCATAGCGTAGTTCTTGAATTCCCCGAGGGCTCGACCATGGTAGACTGGCACGTTTGGGACTGGAACTTGGGAAGGTGACGAGGCCGATCTAGTAGCTGCAGCAAGTTCCCGTAATCGTTCCAAATTCGGGTCTGCGGCGCCATTCGAGTCTGTATTTTCGGTTTTAACAAGTGAAAGGTTCAGCTGGGGCGCACGGAAAGAGGGGCTGACAGCTTGCTCAGATGGTGCAGGGAGAATATTGTCTGGAGCTTGGATAATACCAGCCTTGCTGTCCCCGGTTTGCATCGGTGCTGCAAGCCCCCTGTATTGTGCATTGACCGAGTCCTTCGCAACAGGGCCGATAGTGGGCGAGCAATCTTTGCTGGTGGTAGCCGCGAGCCGGTTCCAAGCCACCTCAAGCGCTATCTGCTCATCAGCAACTTGTTGTTGGATCTCAAGGAGCCGTCGCTGCCGCTTCAAATTTGCGAGCTGCGCCTGGGCCTCTCTAATCTCCGTGTCGAGCTCATCCGTGGGCTGGGACTGCGTAGGGTTAGGCTCGAGCATTTCGGTCAGCCGCGCCCCTTGTTCTCGGATTGGCGGAGTAGCCTCGGCGGAGGAGTCGGATTTTTTGAGCTCTGTCTTTTCCAGTAACATCATCGTACTGCGAGGGATTGGTATGGTTTGGGGGTTTTCTTATTTTTATTTTTTCTTCTCGTTGGCCGTGGCTTGATTCATGATGATCACGTGGTGATAAGATACACCCATGGATCACGTGGTATTGTTCGTTGGTAACTCGACCTGCGAAGTAACAGTGTCGGGTACATGTAGTCTGAGATCCAAAAGATGAGCCAAGGTTGCAAAATCATGCACAACAACCTTCAGATCGTAAAACGGTCGAATTGACTATAATCGGTTAATATTTTCAGTGGGCTGTTGGCAGTTTTGTCTCCATTGGATAATAGTGATAGTGATCAACGCGTTAGTCGGGGAGTTGATCAAGCCTCACGGCGTTGAGGTTTAGATCCCAAGTATTCATGTCCATGACCTTTGCAGACTTGAGCAAATTTGGCCAGCCACCAACGGTCGTTGTAAGCCCGTGTGACCGTGGTAAAAGGGTGGGTACAATCGTCACAGCATAATGACTGATTTCGGTGTTCTACAGGCGTCATTCCGACGCCTTTGTTCACTGACCGGATAATCAATTGGAAAGAAATGATACATACATACTGTGAGATTCACTGATGTTTTATTTGTTGGCATGGGATGCCATGAGCAGGTACAATGCGATGAGGAGCTGTCAGTATATCTCATATTCATCAGCTCCCTGGTGATGAACGCTAATTGAGGAATATATTTTAATCTCCCACTTTTACATCTGCTAAAGCCTCAAAATCTGACAGAAATATTGTACAATTTAGAATTATTATACCAACAAAAAAAAATAAAAAAAAATAAAAAAAATTATGATCGTTGCGAGTTCAAAATATTTAGTTGATGTACGGCCAAACTTCAACAATGTCCGCGGGTCAGCACACGCGACCGTGACCTGATGCTTCCCACCCCAGTCTAGACGGACAGACGCACAGCTCACACAACCAACTGTAAAGCGAGGCCGGGAAGACCAGTCCATGTCCTAGTGAAGAAATTGTAGGCGCTCTTTGACGATTCAACGTTGGGTCAGTAACAGATGAGATGGTCAAAACATGAATCATCGAAGATTGAATAGCCCCCAGTGTCTCAATATAGAAGACCGTGGAGGTTTTGATCGTTAGCCAACGTTCCTTAACCGATTCAGTATCACTTTTTCTCAACATAACCCCAACTCGTCTCTCGCGGTGGGCATCTAAAATGGCATCAAGAATGTCGCTGCAAATAGTCGCGGTAAAACGGAGACATGGGTTGCAACAGGCCTCAATCAAGAGAGGTGTCCTTCAACGCTTGCTACTAAGTAGAGGACTTACGTGATAGGATGAGCAAAGAGGTCTATAAATACGTCCTCCACCCCCAGCAATTTGCTCTACAATTTAATCACTGACTACGTAAAGTCAGGCAGGCCTTGCGTCTGAGGCACTTGATAAGTTCTTCCCTTTGACCCCTACTGGAATTTCGACTGTACTGACATTTATAGATACAACGTACCACGCAAGTCAGACAGTGCCTATGAGAGACCTAATTCTCAGCAGATCCACTGTTCCACCAATGCCTACCGGTCAAAGAGGCAAGATTTGGGTTAGCTGGTCAAAGTGTCTATGCGTACATCTCTCTCCACCATAGCAGCCGACTGAGCTGATCGACCGTTCTGCCCCTGCATGTATCCCCAAAGCGAAAGCGCGACTGCTCGTGCCGCAGGTAAGTGGACCTCTGCCCAATCCTGTCTGAAATTGGACTGACATCAAAGAGGATGCGAAACAACCAGAACGTGCATTCCGACCAATATACACCAGCGCAAAAACCACGAAGCTCGTTTCCGTCTCTTCGTCTCTGGTCTTGACCACTAGAACATGTGAGTCCTGAAATATCTCTCCGATCTACAAGCTAATGATGCGCAGGAGACTGTTGACAGCGCATCAGAGTGAGCCCCCAAGGATCCAGCACCCTGTCAGTGCTCCGCGCAAAGCCATGGCTTACACACTATTCCTGGCCCCGTCGCTTCACGCGATGCAGTATTTTTAGGTGGAATATTGTGAATCAAGGCAGCGGGCCAACAACAGGATGCGGACTTCAAATTACCAGATTCGTTCGCTGAAGCTTGGGACGTCCGTTCTTCGCGTTCAGGTGAGTGAGTTATCGCCCCTTCTGCTGCGCCGCATCCAATTTTTTGTGCCTAGTCTGTGCTCCAAGACATGAACACGACTGACATCTTCATGCCATTGTAGGAGCAAGCTCATCGCTACCCGTGAAAACTATTGTGGCGAGTGACCTATCTCCGCCGAATCGGAGATAAGACCCAGGTGGCAGGCACTACGACGCGTGCTCCATTGCGTCTCCGTCCTCACCGCCTTCACTCCATGAACGGAGCAGTGTCTGAGCCTCTGGCCGTCTGCATCGCGAAACATTCATCCATTATGAACGCACAATCCCTTGTCGCAGGTGGGTTCGTCATGAGCTTTTTGCCGGCTCGGGGAAATGCACGGTGCACCGCAGCGCGACTTTTCTGAAGCGTCGGCCGGAGAGTGCGACGAACCTGAACATAATATGGTGCGAATGGTGACTGCGTGCCCGAAGAGAATTGCAAGTAAAACCCAATCGGTACATAAGCTAGCTTAATCATGATGCTTATTGATCGTCCCGTCTGAAGGGGACAATTTAGGAACTTTATGAACAGGTAAGTTACAACAACTCGTCCAACTGGATCAAGCATTGCTGACTCGGTTTGTATGAAAAGACACACCCTCAGCTTCCTGTCACTTGAGTCGAATGCGGAACGAGCAAATGTCTTGACTGCTCGAGCTCTCCTACCCCATCCGATCGATCGCATGCTGCCTGTCCCGTCCACGAGACTATTGGTGGCATCGATGATGAGTCACCATAGGGTTCAAACCATCTACCTCGGCCCTTCTCTCCCAGTTGATTATGTACACCAGATCATGCGTTGATGTGTCTACCTGATACAAGACTTGGTTCCAATGAGCGTATACCACTGTCTGTTGTTCGACATTCGAATACCGTCAAAGGGATAGCCTCCTTGCAGCGCGGGTTTCTGGCGTCCAACGGGTGATCCTCATTGTCCTCCAATGGCATCTGGCGTCTTTCCAAGCCTGGAAAACCAAAGACACCGATGCGCGCTGATGTTCCTGTCTTGCTTCATGGCGGGCGAGCCGTACCTTCGCAGACGGCCCGGCTGTTAGTCCACGTTCGCGTGCAAGGAGAAGGTGAGGCAAAAGCCCCGTCAATTCTAGCCTACCAAGTTAACATGGTCATCTCAGCTACGAATCGAGAGGACGAGACCGTCTTATTCCGAGGCACAGCCAAACTTGTAAGAAAGCTCACGACCAAAGAATCACCGTCAGGTGCAATTCCACTTGATCCGATTCTGTGTTGCTGAGCTATGCGACGTATTCGAGCGAGCGGAAACGAATGATCGGACATACACGAAGCTGCATCAGGAGGGCTATCAGGATTGTTGTGATGCCTCTTGTTGAACAGATGGTAGGCAGATTTGATTCCTAAACACCCATCTTTCTACCCTAGCCAAGCAATATGTGAAAATTCACATTACTCTAGATGGCACTGCAGCTACAAGCTAGTCAAGCTGACTGTGAGTATCCTTTTCCCATTGAAACTGCCTTCTAACATATCGCGCGCAAGCAGCTCTTGTCACAAACTCGCCTGATTCTCCCTGTCTCGTATGTCAAATATTCTTTGAGCATCAATTATATGTTTACAAAGCTCGCTGCGCTCTCGATGACACGTGGCATGCCAATCTTCGAGCATATTCACTACAAAGATAGATTTGATGTCTGCAAAAACACCATCAGGAGCCGTCCAGCTATTTGGCTCTTGGACTAGTTCAGACATCATATAATGAAATTTCCACCGCTAATCAGCGCTCAGTTCAGATTTGCTTTGGGAAGAAAGTTCAAGGCATATGCCTGCTGTGAATATAAGCAAACTAGAAACCCACTTACGAGGATATCACTTCACAAAATTTCGTCATAATCGATCAAGGTGAATATGTCTTTTATCAGGTCTTTTTGAATGTATTGATTGATAACTAGCTCACGATCTGGCTCTAAAAAGATTTGCCTCGCGGAAGAGCAACAAACAACACGTGATTCAGGCAATACGCCCTAGAAGCAGTTCACGATCTAGCATCTACTCCCGCGGTATTGATGGACAACGCCAGTGGCTCATCGGAGAAAAAAGTTTGTTTCCTACATACATAGCTATACAAGAACTCAGTATCAAGGGAGAATATTGAGTGGCAATTCATATTTTGATATCCCGAGAGTTGAGGTCTTGGTATTGATTGGTTAATTGGCTGGTCGACAGTCGGTTGCGCTTATCGCGTATCAACCCACGTTTTGTAGACATTGGCATGTCCATCAGTGGAGGATTGTTATTTCAACTTGAATAGCCGGTTTTCGGGATGTACAGTTCGCCTTGGCCTTCACGCCCAACGAAAGCGGATCGGAACCCTTCCTTTGCAATTTGCGATGAAGATATATGGGTTTCTTTAACCAAAAAAGGTGATAATCGGTGAGGTGACTTGGTGTGGAGTTGCATGGTCTTCGTTCGATGATCTCTATCAGATTTCGTGGCCGTGGGCGCAGAGTATCATGACTTGTTGTATGTGGATGGGGAAGGGGCATGCCGCTCTCTACAGCTGCAAGTAGATTGCGGACTGCAAAAGCGCTTCGCGGAACTTCGACCTCATTGGTATTGTCATAACCACGGTTGTTAACAGCGAAGAATCTTCCTTTCCATTTGTATAAATATTTTAAAATATCGTGAGCCAGCAAGATGCCTTGCTCGCACAGCCCATATGGTCGAAAAGGGTACACGCATTCATGACAGTGATCCACATGAAGTTGATAGGTTTCCATCACATAGTGTTCATCTCCATGGAGAACGCGCACATCACGGACAACACCGGAAATACCGGGAAATCGGGTAAATGTCGGCATTGCGATGAAGAGTATCTTTACTGAAAGGTAAGCGGCAATCGACACTGGACAGCTGTTTTATATGCCCTGGCCCATATACACACCGAAAAACAACAAATAACAATTCACTGTGCGACAGCAACCTGATGGGGCTAACTCGGGGTTCAATGCGTCAAATCGCTGGATGATCCCAAAGAACCTTTTGGAATTAACCACAATGCTTGGCATTAATTCTGTGAGGCTGAAATCGTTTCATTATGAAGTGCGATGGTGTGTCGCTATTGGATGTTATCTTCTGTGTTCATGCATGCAGTGGCGGCGCTTGATGCTGAAAGTCATAGCACTTGCTTTGAAACCGCGAGCAGATCTATTCTAGATACCAAGGCTATTTCTGATGATATTGGAAACCACGCTCCATTACTGAGTACCCGATAGGCGCCAAACTTGATCTTTGTGGGAAAGTTTTGGAAATAGAGGCCAGCGCCGTAATTTTAGTTTCATGAAAAAAGCCTCTGCTACAAAAAGGGACTTGTTAAAGAAAATTCTCTCAGGTGATCCGATATACACGGTTCCTTTACCCCAGCGCTGGAAGAAAATCGCACAAAATTATACTCGCCTGGTTGTTGTTGGCGTGGCTAGCAGAACTCTATTAACGAGGCAGGGAAACGACTCAAAAAGAACGGATGAGGGCAATGAATCTTGCCAACGTGACAATGCTTTCCGGCACAGAGCCCTTTAGTACTCGGATTCAATTTGACGGACTGCTGAGTTCTAACGCAAAATAGCGTGGTTCGATTTTGGGGGTCCAAGTCGATCTGTGATGCCAGCTCGGTTCGGCGCGACCCTCCAGCCGAGAGCTAGTACCCTTTAAGACCAACAAAATAAAAGAGACCTCGACTCTCTTACGAGAGCAAAAAATATAGGAACCACTAGGAGTAGTGCATTTCTCACAAGAGACGCGCCCTTGAATTGCTTTTGCGACTCGGGCGCCAAAAGTTGGGCTACTGCGGTGCCCGGAGGGGGTCTGAGCGGGATTTCCTGGCGTGAGAGCTGCCACGCGCGACAGGATTAACCGTTAGCGCGTTCGCCGCAATGCGTCATTGCATTAGTGGCTCCTCGGTACCATGGAACGTAGAAGATGCCCGCATTGCGAAGCTTGTGGGCTTTTTTTGAAGATAGTCTGTCTGTAGGCTGCTTGATCCGTGTTATTATTGAGCGTTTCCATTACCAGCTGTCCATGTCAATCGCACGAGCTCAGGCGCCAAGGAGCAGCGTGTCAAGAGTTCAAGCATATATAGTAGCTTGGGTGTTTGGTCGCTGACCAAACATTGTGCGTTTTTGGCCTGTTAGCCTAGTGGTAAAACCCAAGCAACCGCGATCCCTGACAGAAATAGCAAATAGCTCCAAGAGCTAGGTTGGATTTCCCAGGGGACAGACTCCTAGAATCGCTTTTGGCATTTCCAGGGCCAATCGTTTGTTACATACCAAAAATTTTCAGCTATGTTTGTTTTGTTTGCAGGCACACATTGGAATTGATTGGGTTATCCAGTTGTGCCCACAATTCCAAATAAATATGTCGATCCCTTCCTTCCTGATCCTCCTTAGCCCCCTGGCTTTACCCCCCAGCCTTGAGCATTGATCTACATGCAAGCGGGGGCATGGATCACATCCTCCAACTTCCTCGCTCTTCTGGGTGGAAATCATGAGTCAAAATGCAGAGAATTAAATCATTGTCCTTGTCTCTCGTACTCAAGCTTGAATCTTTACAGACGGCCTTGAACCTACTGAGTCCTTGACTGGGCCGTGTTGCTATGGCTTTGGCCCAGATGGATACGGTGGAAGCCTTCTCTTATCTTCAAGGCAACCTACCAGCGTTGATCAGCCGTATTACAGACCTCGCTGCTCACACATCTGCCAAATATACCGAATACTATGAAGCCTGTCGCCGACAGAAATCTCTCAGGCTGCGATGTCCTACGAACCACTCCGTGCGGATCGACCAGAGACGAAATCCCACCAAATTCGATAAAAGTGTCACGAAGGCAAAGGATGCAATGGACTCAATCCAATGCTCTGGTCGCAAGCGACGCGCGGACGAAGACCTGCCCATCGGCCGGAATGAGCCCTTCGCTCCAGTGAACAAGCGACACAAGGTTATCATCGAGTATGACGGCCATACACAGAAGGTGCTTGAAGAGGTCGTCCGGGATATTGGTATTTGCAGGAGTAATATACGACGAGCGAAAATGTCGATGATGCAGATGCGCTTTCTATCTCCGAAAAATCAAGATCAATTCGCATTGTCTATGCTCTGACTGTTTCTTCTAAAACGTCTAAAAGCAAGGTCATCGCTTTACCAATATGTCTCGTGATTCTTATTTGTCCCAACCATAGTTGGCCCTGTCGCCAAAGTGCGATCTGAGCAAGTTCCTTCTTGTTGATTGCACGCGTCTGATTTCCCCCAGCGTATGGTAGTGCCCGACATCTATAACTTCCGTCCGGTCAACACATTCAACTTTACCCGCAAGAAAGTAATAAATCCTAGCAAATTCAATCTCAAGGTGATTGTGGGAGCATCTCACTGAAGCAGTCTAGTTTTGTAAGTTTACGCTCCAGCCATATTTGCAAATTGACCTTCTTGGCGCCGTGTGAAAGAATTACTTTCGGTCATGCGAGGATATGCGGCTGCCAAAAGATTTCAATTTTCATGCAGGACAATATATTCTAAGAACCACTATCGAGTCCTGATTTGGCTCCTACTGAAGTAGATGGTATCAACTAGCAAGTAAGTTCCGGAAACGCACGTGCAGTTTCAAGAGGCAATCATGTCCAAGATTGCCCAAACTCTCGCCTTGACCTTGAGGACATCGTCGTCCTCGCTAACATTCCAGAAATGATCCTTTGCTCCAGCAGATAAGTCATTGTAAAGGCCATTGCAGCTTATGTGTCTATTGCAAAAAGCTCATTGGTCATGGCGGACGAACATTATCACTCGTTCGATGTGCGATAGAGGAGTATGATCCTAGCCAGAGAACCGTGGGAAGAAACAGTGGAGGTCGGCCCACGATGCTACTTTCTCCATAGTTTCGACACCTATAGTTTACTCAAGGACAGCGCGGGTCGCCAAGGCAGAGACTAGAATCCTGATGATAAATGTATTCATAATCATCTTCGCACACGTCCATAATAGACAGCTTATTGGCAATTGGAGATACACGCAGCTTCATACTAAGTACAAATCAGCTCCTCAGCCATACCACCCATATGTGATTCTGCTCCCAGGACCGCCATAGGACCAAATATTGTACAACAGAACCATCATTGTGGTGGATAAGGCGTTTGGAACCTATGCTTGTAGGTATCTTCTGGCTAAATTGGAGATGTCAGCTCGTTTGGTAACATCCGACTTGTTCGGATCCACAAGAAAACCAAGATAAAATCGATATTCATCCGACTCCCAATTTACGGGGATTAGGGTAATGAGATTGATGAATGGCTGGCCGTCCTTGCGGTAATTGATGATGCTGGTCTGGATCTCGCAGCGGTCTGCAATACTCGAACGCATGCGAAGAACCGTTTGCTCGTCAACGAAACGACGCTTCGCGCCGGCTTCGATCTTGTCATCTGGTCCCTGAAGAAACCGGCAGTTCTGCCCGACAACTTCTTCACTGGTGTAGCCTGTCAGCCGCTCGAAGCCCTCCGAAACATAAACAATAGGATAGTCGTCGCAAAGGATGTCACAGACAACGAGCGCGCTCGAGAGATCGACGGGACCGACGTTAATCTTAGGGTTTGGACGAGAAATGGCTCGGGCCTATCCATGACATTAGGGGGGGAAAAAAAGAAAGCCCCTGAAATGTGACAACGCCAGGACACGTCAACTTACCAGAATTCCGAGGATGTCAAAGCCACTTTTAGAATAGATGTTGGCATGTGTGCTGGCGTCAGAACAAATGAAATTCCCTGATACTTCCGGTCCTGCACACATGTCCGATCAGTCATCCCGTTGTAATTGGGTCCAATCCAATACTCCGATGCTCACTTTTGACGGCCAGCGTATTCGGCCGGATGCTGATCGTCTGTGGCGCGAGGTAACCCGCACGCGACTGTATTTCTTGGGTACATCGCTCTTGTGAGCGCGGATGACACAAGGACCGAGTGAGTTCGGGGAGCTTGTCTGTAGTCTGCGTATGCTCTGTTGCGGGTGATATCCCTGCCGCCGCAGCGGGCTGCGGCGGTAAACGCATTATAGGATCCGCCCTTGAATACGCTATGAAGTGGGGGTACTGTGGGCATGGGGCAACAGGTGGCACGCTTGGTTTCTGGGAGTTCATTCCGCAGGTGAAAAGCAGTTCATCAGAGGCGACCGCGGTGTGGTCGTCGATCATGGTGCCACCCGTGCTGGCAGGCGAGCCGTGTGTCAACGTAACATTCGACAGGTGGGCATCTAAGTCGGTCGGCAGCGGCACGGTCGGGCGCTTGAAAATCTGCCGGGGCTGATTATCCTGGCCCGGCAGCATGACGCCGCATGGGTCGTTGCCAACCTGGCTGGTGTCCTGTTGCAGGGAGCTCATGAACGTGGACAGGTTGCCGGCCGTGGCCAGAGGCGGGCGGCTCTTATTGCTGACGATACTACTTTGCAGCCAAGCCGTCCTAATGAATGGGCGTCACGCAATCATTGGAGTCGGCGCTGGGAGCTGGGGAGGGACAACGCAAAGGTCACATCGAAAAGTGCACATCGAAAACTGGTAGGGAAATCTGCCCTCAACTGATAGTCTAGTCTGATAGGTCGAAGGGTCCACACTCCTACGTTATTGTGTGATCTGCAGTTAGGATCGGCGTGCTAGCGTCCGATGACAAATTCCGATCACCCGGCTCATCGGATCAGCCTGTGTTTCACCTAAATAAGATATACGTTCATCCAATTATCCTAGGCCATTGTCCCCAATGGTTCATCTGCTACGATCGTACAGATTCATTTCCTGCGGCGCAGGACCTGATCGGGATGGGCCGGGAAAAACCTTGGTCCTCGGTCTCCGGAAAGTGAAACCCGACTGCGAACGGGGTTCACAGATGGTCGAGGCGATGAGTAATAGTAATGGCGGACGGTGCCACGGCCAGTTTGGTATTTGGAATTAACGACCGAGAGGCTCCACCGGTAATCATACAAGGGAAGGGGCAGATCGATCTGACTAGGTACCAATCCCGAGATCGACCGAAGAATTGACCCACCTTTCTATTGAACCAGTTAAACTAGCTGACAGTACAAGTGCAGCTGGTTTCCACGTCCCGATATGGTATGTGCATGTGAAAGAAAATCCAGCATTCCCAAGGTGCAGACGTGCCGAATTTTCACTTGGCTTGTTACTCCTGGGTCGTGTTATGTTCCTGTGACCTGTGTTATACTGGTTTTTGGTATGGTCCGAGCCTCTCCTGGAAGTGAAGGCCTAATAGGGAACTGGGTCCGGGGGACGAATTAATAATAAATGGTACCCACGTAAATAGAAAACAAGAGGGGTTATATATATACCTTGATCTAAACCTGCAAAATTCTCTTTCAATTTCAGACGCGGGGTGGAAGGGATGCTGTTCTCTATTGGTTCAAAGACCTGCCATTGACATTCTCCGGTTGTGGGAGGCTTATTAGCTGGCCCTCCATTGTTTTCTATGATTTCGATATGAATCGGAGATCCGCGGCTGATCACCCAGGCCGATAGTAATGTTGATCGGCAAACTATGTGACGTGTTGTTAGATTCGGGATGCTGTAGTTTTTTATTCGGGAAGAATGTGGACCTCGGTAACTTAATTGTATGCTTTCACCCTGTTCATCGACCACACCTTTATTTAGCGAGCAGACTAGAATGGGGTTTTGGTCATGCTACAGTACAGGGGAATGCTAGCGTGTTCTGTGTAGGGATAACAGCGATAAAGCCGTCAAGGGGATCTGAAATGTGCAGTCGGACACTTCTGAATTGGCCCTTATAACCGTGACCCATGGTCGACCGTTTAGACCTCGGCTCGGTGCGAATTCAACCCTTTCCAGAGACTTTCCCCCCACCATTCCTCATTTAACAGTTCACCCCGACCGCACCTTTTGTTTAGTGAGCAAATTGAAATGGGTTTTTGGAGACCTTGTTGGTCTGACCCTTATTGATGGTACATATAAGTCCACAGGTCCATTGGGGATTACGGCATGTGACGCTCAAGGAAACCCTAATTTGGTTTCGATCTTTCAAATAGCACCCACCCTCAATACTCAAAGCACCTCCCGCGTTATTATGATCACTAGTGCCCAATCTTGCAATGACTTCTGGCAAGGAGGAAGCTTTGCCTGCAACCATGGAACAGGAAGCACTTTCGTTGGGACCATCATGGCACTCACGTCTATCTCCGCGACCACATCGCGGTAATTCAAGGACGTCTTCTTGCACGTAATGGGCAAGTGAGTCGGGGTACCAGTACAATCACTATTCCGAGCTGTCTCATCACTACGGTATCAACCACTACGACAACAACCACTACGACAACAACCACTACGACATCAACCACTACGACAACAACCACTACGACAACAGTGCCAATCATTATCGTTGCCGCCGCCTAAAATGGGCACCTCAATGGGCCCTATGGGATCTCTTGGTCCTATGGGCAGAATACTGATTGGCACTGTGGTCGTAGTGATTGATGTCGTAGTGGTTGATGTCGTAGTGGTTGATGTCGTAGTGGTTGATGTCGTAGTGGTTGATGTCGTAGTGGTTGATGTCGTCGTGGTGAGGCAACTCGGAATAATGATTGTATTGGTGTCCCGACTCACTTGCGGATTGCGTGCAAGAAGACATCCTTATCTGTGACTCACGACACAAAAAACGGAAATGCGACAGCCATCCTTGTAAACTGCCCGAAGACTGTGGATGCTTTTGAACTGCTGATGGTCTTGCCTTTTGCAAACAAACTGTCCTGGACGACACTGTAAGTGCGATTCATTCTCTAGTGGAATTTTGCTGACTTTTATTCAGCGTTTTCATTCAGTTCTCGAAAAATACCTCGAATGGTGCGGTCTCGGCATATATAGGGGTTTCGGCAGCGATCCAGCTCATGTCTACGTTTCCATGAACTGCCCAAATGCTAAGGTACCTGCTCTGACTGTCCGACTATGGAGGCCAGCTCACATATAGAATACTTTGCTGGTTCACAATCATTCGAACTTAATACATCTGATTCGTCTATTGGCGTTTTTGAGTCTCCACTTCCAACTGGTTTCTCCTCAGTGGGTCCACTTGAGGAAGGAGACCCGTCTGATGAAGAATGCGTACGCTGTCAAAGAATGAAATTGAACTGTGACGGGGAACAACCTTGTTACTCATGCGTCAAGGGACAAAGTAACACTCACGTCACCAATTGCAACTATCGGCGATCTGGTGGAACATATGAGTCATGGGCGATTCGACCATTCGAGGCGAAGGGCCTGACTGAGCCGAATCTTCGGAAGAATTACCAGATCTATACTGGTCGGAGAAAGCCCAAAGTCTCCAACAAGTCGGGGTTATTGAGAGGGATCATCGACTCCGACTTACATGACAACGAAAATCACAGTCGACGCGGGGCGGCCAAGGATAGCCACAAGGGTTTCGAATTCGGTCTATCGGCGTACAGTGAAGACAGGCTACCAGCGCCCCGATTGAAGAGGGTTGATACCACCGGCGGGAAGTACCATGAGGCCAAGGTGGAAGAATTGAATTCTCACAAAGGAAGGGCACGTAGAAAGTCGTTCCACTTCGAGAAGAAATCAAACCGGTTACCTCACGCTGGGTCACTACCGACAAGTATGGACCGGATGTGGAAGTCACCAGACGCAAAGCTTGTCTAGTGGCAAGGGGTTTTCAACAGGAAGAAGGCATTGACTATGAGGAGACATTTGCGTCCGTGGTGAAGTCCACTTCAACCCGCATCTTGCTCGCGTTGGCGGCGATTTGCCACTGGCACATCCACCAGGGAGATGTCAAAACGGCGTTCCTGAACAGCGACTTGGACAAGCCAGTCTACATGAAAGCGCCGAGGGATGTGCAATTACCTCGTGGATGCTGTTTACTGCTCCTGAAGGCCGTTTATGGTTTAAAACAGTCACCTCGAGCGTGGTACCAGAAACTCCGGGATACTCTTGTCAGCTGGGATTGGCGAATGTCTGCCTACAATCCATGTGTTTTCATCAATGACAGGACCGGGCTCATCCTTGAAGTTCATGTGGACGACATAAACGTGATGGGTAGAGGCCTCCAGGCAATCCTTGGTTTCATGGCTCAGTTCTCAAAAGAATTTCCGATTTCCGACGAAGGCAAGTGCTCCTGGGATTTAGGGATGCACATAAAGCAGCTGGAGAAATTCACGTCCATAAAAAGCAATATATCGACCAAGTTGTTAAGAAATATGGCTTCAAAGATGCTGCTCCGGTCAAGACGCCTCTTAACAAAAACGTCAAGCTCGCGAAGCAAGGCGACTACATCGTGGATGCCAAATTCCGCAAAGAATATCTGTCTAAGGTCGGATCACTCAATTTTAGCAGCAATCAGACAAGGCCGGACATTCCCCTTGCTACGGGTTATGTAGCTCGATACACATCCAATCCAAACCGGGTTCACATGGATGCCGTGGATCGCTTCTTTGCATACCTGAACAGCGACTCGAGGAAGGGAATTGTCTATTTAGATAAACATGGTCTTCAGCTTACCGGTTTTGTGGATAGCGACTTTGCCGGGTGTGAAGACTCGCGCAAATCAACGACTGGTTGGGTGTTCACGCTCACTGGAGGGCCCATATGCTGGTCATCTCAGAGACAAAAGATAGTAGCCACGTCAACCATGGATGCAGAGTACATTGCCTGCACCGAGGCTGCGAAGGAGGCTGTATGGATACGCAATTTTATCAGTGACCTCCGCATCCCCGGTATTCATATCGATCGATGTAGTTCCTCTCTACATGGGCAGTAGTTCTGCCTTGAAGCTTACCAGAAGTCTGGAATTTCACAGCAAGTCCAAAGATATCGACGTCAAGCATCACTTCATTCGTGAGAAGGTGGAGGAAGGACTTATCAATACACAGCGTGTCAATACGAAGGACAACTTGGCAGATGTTTTCCCAGCGGGAACAAAGCCCCATTGCTCCGCTACCGGAGAAACAAAGAAATATGTCTCCGCGCGGTTGAGAGCAGAAGCAGTACTAGCATCGTGAGCAGCTACTCAGCGTGGGTGGCGGTTTGCTTTCCGCGCATCTGGGATCATGTTTCTCTTCCACATTCATCGACCATTTGCCAGTGTGGTAACCAGGTGTCCGACAACGATGGAAACATTGGCCTCTGGGCCTCTGGGATCCGAGAACGCCAAAAGGTCTATCTCCACCTGCTAAGAAGGTTTAAAGCAGCTTTACGGCGATGTCTCGACTTTGAAATTTGCCTCCTTCGCTTTCAATTCCTCCTTGGTAGGCTTTCTTGCCCAGACGCGGTTCCTAAACGTTATTAGCATCAAACAATTCAGCGGCGCGACTCGAAAGAAAACCTACGCAGGGTTATAGGCGTGAATGTACGGGTCCTTCAACTCCATGCGCACTTTAGCCAGGAACAATTGCACCTCCTCGTTCGACCACGGCTCTGGCTCCCCAAAGTGGGTGAGAAGCCACATCGCCCAACCTTCTAGAGCGGCGTTCCAGTGGGCATACTGGAGGTGTCCAACCTCCTTCAGTAACTTATCCTTAGGCCAAGGACCTAACGGGATTTTGTACTTTTCCTCTTGCAGATCCACGAACCCGGCTCTCTCAATTGCGCTGCGCATCGTTTCATGGGTTCTAAGTGATCGTCCGGCTCGCTCGGCACATCTAATAAACATGGCGCCCCACCCCCATAGCAGGTGTTCTTTCTTCAAGGTATCGTCATCGCTGGAGACTCGCACGTCAAATTCCATCTGCTCGATCCAGCCACCGGGTTCGAGGGCGCTATAGCGGAAGTAAAAAGACATGAGGGCTTGATGACTCAGAATATCGAGTAATAAGGATTGAAACTCACTCGTAAGCTTGTTTATATAGCTGGTCCCATCCCTCAAGGGGGAAGGCGCCATACATTAGGCGCATATGGATAAAGTCAAACGACTCTGTCCATGTCCACTCGCGAAGCACATCATCCACTTCGAAGACGCAGTTCGGAGGCATCCATGTCACGGGCGGGGGGAAGATATCCACGCCACGGACGATAGCTAACCAGTGTCAGTGCAAGAATAGAAGGAGTCGAATCAAGAAATACAATACCAGACGGATAGAGATCGGCAACATCACTAAGGACCTGTTAGAGGTTCTTTTGAAACGGATTACTCGTTCAATTACATAGCCCAACTTCCTTGACCAGTTCCAATGTCCAGAATATTCTATATTGTGTTATCAGCGGGACGTTCAAGCATTAATCGCCTCGGTATAAATTCACCTTAGGCGAATCGCCGATAGGGGCGCGGAAAAGAGGATTCGGCTGATTATAGTCTAGCACGAGAAACACCATGTGGCTGATTTTGTTAACATCACAGACATTCTAGCTAGTGAGACATGGAAGGTATGGGGATGGGATGCGGTTTACCCAATCTCAAACGCCTCGAACTGCTGCTCGTCAGAAGGACCCCTAGACATGGTTACTCTATATAAAACCAAATCGGGGCATCGCAACCAACCAGTAGTCATTTTCTTTGGTGGCCTGATATCTACATTTCGGGTTAGGCTCAGAAAGCGATCTTAGACTGGAAGTGGACTGGCCTTCGGCCGTTTTCTAACCGTCCCCTCGCGATTGTGGACGCAATAGAGGTGGTCTCCCTGAAGGCATACTGAAGTGAGAATGCGACGATAGGTATTATTCGCAGTCGCACTTACGACTGAAAGTCCTGCGGATCCGTGCCATAGCCAGTGGCCATAGAGTAGAAATCAGGGTCCTAGGCAAGAAGGTGAGAAGGACTACATCAGAACATGAAAGCACCACTTACCACCGCGATTTCTTCCATAACGTCAGCCATGGTCGCGACACTTCTCCAAAGTCTGCGGGAAAGGTCGACGGAGGAAGAATTTCAGGAAACGGTTGAGGAAAAGGGGAAGGGGGGAAAGGTGGGGTGTTGGGGGGTGTTAGGGCGGTCCGGTTTCCCTCAGTGTCCGCTCGAACAGTTTAAATAGCAACTCCAGTCGCAGCCAGAGTATAAGCGAGTCAGGTCTAGGTTGGCCACAGCAAAAGAAGAAAGTATGAGGGGGCGACCACGGCTACTAGTGATTGGTCCAAGTGTTGACATTGGTCCATAGGCCCGACCCACCGCTCGTCGCGATCTGCCATTGTTCGATACATGTGATTACATCAGCGCACCCTACAGCCTTGCCGAACACGCTGTGGGGAGTCCCGGGATTGCAGTTACAAGAAGGGCAGGATCTACGCTTTGATCTCATAAATGCAGATTTGTTAAGGATACAGTGACTGGACATAAGTAATTGCTCCCCTGCCCCACACCTCCTTATTACATAACATTCTGCTGGCATAAACCTTATGTAATTAAACTGGTAAGGTGTATACCAGCCCTGGCAATACGGCATCGTCTCTGGGAGATGCTCCAAATGCTTTATATCTCAATCATCCAATGCCAGCTGAACAGTAGCTAATACTAACCCCTTCTTTGTTAGACTCGTTGATCCATTTAGCAAGGCGGTATTGGCTATATTGGGCGGTGTATAAAGTGGGGCCAAGGGGGAGCAATTACTTATGTCCAGTCACTTTACACCAACAAGGCGGTCAACAAGAACGGCACTAGCACCTGGTACGCGACGTATATATGCATGCAGTGAATGTAGGCCCCAGGGCACCGGGCCAATGTTTGTCCAGAAACAGATAATTAGAGTTTAAAAGATTGTGGTTGTTGAAAAGCTTCAAAATATATAATTTGGGATGGGTGGCGGCCCACTCGCGTATGCGGCCCACTGGCCTCTGAATTACGCTATGAATAATATGGATAATATGAATGCGAATATGACTAATGCACTTATTCGCGTGAATAAAAAATCCATTTATTAATATTGCGGAGTGCGAATATGAATATGCCCTATATTCGCATTCCTTTATGTTATGACATGAGGCTGATGCAGATCAGGAACAAAGCGCATCATCGGAAATAATCCCCGAGGTGCCTATACAAAGACTCAAGCTGATTTGGAATCAACTTGATCTTGTCGCTGCATATATAGCTTCATGCATTCCCTCTTAAAAAAAAAAAAAAAAGAAAAAAGAAAAAGAAAAAGAAAAAGAAAAAGGGAAAAGAAAAAAGGAAAAGCAATTAGTCTTCCTTTGAATTACTTCACTTTATTCCTTTCAGAGCCCTAGCAACAGAAGCTGACTACCTACAACGGTGCCGTGCCCAACGGATATCAGCCTATCCGGCTAAACCCAATCCGGTTATCGCAACTAGACTTATACACCGTCATTGTTAAATTGGCCTTAATATCCACCAAATGCTGAAATCTCGTGCAAAGCGAAAAATTTCCTCGGGCTTGTGCGTTATTTCTAGCTTAAACCGCATATATGACAGATAGATACTCATAGAAAGAAACAATATAGAAAATGAAATCTCACTGCGTGGATTCCAATCACATAGGTCATCTAGAGAGGAAAAGTCCAGGGTCCCACCTTTCCATGATTCACGGCTTGGATGCCACGGTTTCCTCCGCCGAACCTCACATGCATGTCGCCAAATTCTGCCACACGACCTGGCTCACCAGTGTCCTTCAACAAATTGAGGATCTTCTGAGAATGATATATCGCTCGCCTCATTCTGTTCGCATTTTCGGCTTTTTTTATTACCCACTTCTTCGATGGCGTCCGTGACTTTCTGCTGCTGCGAAGATACCGACACTTGCCGTCCCGATCCCTAAAAAGCGACTTGGTTAGGATTCTGATAAGCAGGAGATTGAGAACTTAAAACATACATCAGAGCTGCGCAATGCACAGATTGAAGAGTCAAGTACAGTCATTCTCGAAATCGTCTTGACCAACATACACTGAGAAACTCTTTCCTGGCCCCACCGCTAAGGCTTTAGCGCAGATCAATTATTGAGCAGCTCTCCTTAAATTAAGGGCGCAGTAAGATGCGCCGTGTATGTTACCTTACTATGTGACGTAAGATTACAAGATGCGTACGAAAAGAAGGCTCATGGAAATCTATGGTGGGTCTCTGCAAATCGTACGAGGAAGGCCACCTAGCGCTAAGGAATTGATGATCTGCTGGGAGACCTATCTCCCTCCTCCTGTGCAGCGGGTGCTTGTCATCGACTTTGGGGGTGTCTTTTTGGCCTAGAGAACGTCAAGAGCGATATCATATCATCGGCAAGCAACCGTCCTAGCGAGTTGTCGATTGCTTGCGGGCGAACAACACCCTTAACGGCTCCTAACCGCGTAAGGCCTCAACTTAAAATCACTCACCCTTGGTCGGTTGTTACGGTAAGTCCGGGCAAATGAGGCCCAGTTCTCTCGTTAGCTATAATAATGACGTTCACCAGACTTAGCGTTTGACCTTTAGGGCGATGCATCATAATATGCCTTATTACCTAGATTAGATTTACACTACTAGGTCACTGTCGTCGAGCTAGAAGAACCCAACATATGTCGTCTGGATAAAAACCCGAACGAACTATGTATAATATGTATGGTAATAGTCGACGTGGTCTATGGAAAGATAAATAAATAACCATGAAAGAAAAATTATGGAAAAAAAAGCCAACCGCCCGGACTGGGTTTCGATCCCAGGACCTTTGGGTGACTCTTTGCGAAGAGATCGTATTCGCCCAACGTGATAATACCACTTCACCACCCAGCCGGCTGGCAATAAAACTAGGCTTCAAAGTATAGTGGTTTTCGTACGGGGGTTCTCGAAATCGCCTTGACCAGTATCCATGCCTGCCGCCCCCAAAGCTCTTCCCCCGGTTTGGGTGGGCAGAAAGGCACGTATACACACTGAGACTCTCTTTCTCGGCCCTACTGCCAAGACCTAAGCGTAAACCATACAGTACATACAAGTGTTCTTCCCTAGTTAAGCTGGGTCAAAACAGCATAAATTTCAAAACTTTTGACCCTTATCTTGTTTTGGCTCCTAAGGTATTATCCGATTACCTTTCCCTCTTCCTCTCCGTAAATTTTTGATCCTTCACTTCACTTCTTCTCAAGCCCAAAATCTTTCCCACAGGCTTGGCGCTGTTGACCAGAAGTACTCCTGACCACCTTTTGTAACTAAGGCAAAAGCCACATTGGCAAATATAGAAGGGTATATATATCCAAGATGAAAGTTGATCAATATGGATGTAGGTAGATAATTGTCTCAGTCACCACTTCACTCTGCCATTGTTTTTTTTTCTGAAAGTCAGGGGTTACACAAGTCCATCTGATGGTTCCTAATTAATGATTGGCGGGCGCAAGATAGTGGTGCCCAAAATCCATCTATCGAATGAAACCGGCAGTTTAACCCACTACGGGGAATTTCGAGGGTAAGGTGGCCGACTGGACACGGCTGGAGAAGCTTTGCTGCCAACGGCATGGCATCCACGACAGCGGCAGCCAAGGCAGGAAAGTCTTGATGTCGGTTCTTGTCGTGAGTTTGGCGGTTTGGAAGAAAGGTTATTTCGCGGGGTTGACGACACCTTTAGAGCTTCGTGGCCGAAGCATACCCTGGGCTGCCTTTTATTACGTTTCATCACATGCGAGTATTCGCATTCCAACTGATGTCGTTTGTGCGGTAGATTGAAGAGGCGCTGATTGTATAGCTGGGTTCGCAATTACTCAATAGGTGTCTGTGGGACCTGAGTGGTCCAATCGAAGGTATGGTAGCGGGTCGCCATGGTTGGTAGGTAGGTAGGTAGTATAGGTAGAGTAATTTAAGTAGGAAGGGTAATTTAAGTAGGAAGGGTAATTTAAGTAGGAAGGGTAATTTAAGTAGGAAGGGTAATTTAAGTAGGAAGGGTAATTTAAGTAGGAAGGGTAATTTAAGTAGGAAGGGTAATTTAAGTAGGAAGGGTAATTTAAGTAGGAAGGGTAATTTAAGTAGGAAGGGTAATTTAAGTAGGAAAGATTGAAATAGGGAGGTAATAAGCTAGTCTAAACTAAGAAGGCGGTTGCAAAATGTATCAGTCATAAACTAGGGGTGGAAGTTTCACACTTAACATTATCAATGCGGTAGACCTGTATAGATTTGGTGCGAGATTGAGGATCTCGAGCCTTGGGATGGGATAGAGAGTGGGCTAGAGTGGGCTAGAGTGGGCTAGACTGTAACTGCAATTCCTGGGAACGACGAGATTGCTTACTGCAAATGACAGAAGTAGCTTCTGGGCTGACGGCGACGGCAGCCAATCCAAACCGGCGGCAGAAAATTGACTCGGGCGGTGTGAATATCGGCCGGGCCTCATACCAAGCCGCGCCTATAATTTGCTGCGGCAGGCAAAACTCTTGGGAGGTGCTTCGGGTGGAGCAGGGGTCAACCAGTGCCGACGATGCTGAGGTGTCGATATTTCCCGGACAGATGTCGTCCCCACTAATTTCCCAGTGCAGCCATCCTTCGTGGCCATTCCCAAAGGAAGCCGACTCGGGCGAGTAGCCGGTGGTGATATCCTGTATCAACCGCGGGGTTGCGGGCTCGTGTACCGCAGCTGTAGGCTAGGGGTTGCGATAGTAGAAGAGGTTTCCGACGTAGCGGGTATTTAGAGGTATGATGACCCTCCTCTCTTTCTTCTGTTATCCTGTGCCTCCCGCCAGTTCCCTCGCACTTTTTCCGCTGTGGCACACTCTCTCCGGCTCTAAACCCGGATTCAAGTGCTTAGTCATGACCGACATCACTCCAAATGAGGTCCAACCTAAGTCGGCGACGCCGCAAATCGCAGCGTCGCCGGATGCCCAAGAGCGAATGAGCATCGGGCGCTACTTTCACGCGTATACCAACTCTGATGCCGCCCATGAACCCGGCGCCGAACCCCTTTAAGGCACACACTTCTCAACCGTCAGCAATGGCTGTTCTTTTCTGTATGGTAGTCGCAAGTTCTTTGGATGGCACGGAGCTATGCTGACTTCATTGTAGGTTGCATTTATCGGTTGGACCTGGGATGCCTTCGACTTCTTCACGGTCTCCCTGACCACCACCCAGCTAGTCAGCTACTTATGCTTCATGTGATGGTCCATGACCAACGAAATTTATGCTAGTGCGGATAGCTTGCAAACATTCGTGGATTATCCGCAGATATCCTCAATCCGCAAATTTGTGGAGCGGATGGCAAAGTGGCCGTCGCACTTGTGGGGATGTGCCGCGGTCTACTCACGACTGTCAGAGCCTGACCTTGCAGCAATTTTGACGCCGGCACGGAAATCCAAAGTGATGGTCCGAGCTTTGAATTACTGGACCTATCACCCTCAAGGACCTCAGAAGGGCAGGAGGGACTTGGAGAGAAACCACCGAGGAAACAATTGAACTAAAATATTTAAAGCCACGGGCTGAAACGTGGTGAACGATCAAGTTGCAGAACGTTGGGGCATCCATGGTAACCTTTTCATCGCGCTACTCCCTTCTCAATATATGCTAATGTATTTCGCCGCAATCAACGCAAGTCTTCGAGGCGAATGGTTTCTAAGAGAACCGGTGGTAGCTCTTGTGAAACAGAATGCAAACCACAGCTAAAAGTGGGTCGTGTTGGCCTGCCCGCTTCAAAACTGTATAGCGCATGTTTCAACCTCCGTTGATTCAACTCCACTCTCAGCGAGGAGGCAGCACGCTTAACTCACAACTGGTCACTACTACTGACATGTATCAGTCCAATTTTCGTTCGCGGATTGCCTTACAAGCTGGATCAAGCTGTCGTGCTTTCCGGCGAGTGCCTTGTAGAAGATGGTCCGAGGGGAGATCGGGTGTGGAGAAGAGAGCAGCTTCTGTAAATCTCCAAGTGCAAGTGCTACAATACAGACTAGCCAGCGTTTTATTCGGCTGAAGCTCTTGCTGAAATAAACTGTGGTTGACTATGACTTTTTCCGATGTTCAGGGCGTGAACAGTGATGGTATCATTGCGGTGAAAACTTAATCGAAGGTCTGCAAGGTATATACTAGTCCAGATGGCGTCCATACTATCCTTTTCGAAAAAACCAAGAAATTATCTGCGGGTATCTTTTGAAAGACGTTCCCACAGTATGTAAATGAAAGTTTGCTGTTCTGATGGCCTGCGAACAGACGATGGCGGCCAAGACAGCGATGACTAGGGTGGGATAGATCGTGCCAGGGGGCGCAGAATTGAAGAAAGGGTTCGAATAAGCACCAGGGTGTTCACTTGATATAAGTGCTTGCCTGATATATGCTAGTATAAGCCATGGAAATGTGTAGTATAGCCAGTTAACTGAATAGCTCTACCGCTGAAGCCTCCAAGATCCGCAAAAAGAGCCTCAACGTTGGTAAATGCCATCCTTTTTCACCATGGCACATCAAGAATACAACGCCAAGTACAGAATAGGACGCTTCGAAAACGGTTGCACCGTTTTAAACGCGATTGTAGATCCCAAATGCCGCATCGAAGCCGAGTCAGGTTATCACAGCGGCGAAAATACATAACGAATCTTGATTATCCCAAGCGGCTAGACGAAAATAGCACAACCAGGATAACGTTAGTGACACTGATCACGATGCCTTTCAAGATAGTGGGGTCGCCGACTTCGATGCCTTGAACAGCTCCAAATACCAATTGTGCCGGGACCAGGAGGCCGTCCGAAATATCCACTGTCACAGACAATACACCCATAGCTTTCAAGGGGATCTCTTGCCAACCTATTAGGTTCGATCCCATGGCGGATTCGTTTGCCGTCTGGTTCGAGATCTCCTGTAAGGTGTCGTTTCATCTGAACAAGGAACGCCTCTCTGGGGTTACGGTTGGTAATTTTCATCTAGTAACCAGTCATAGGCAGTGACAGGACCACTCTGGCACTTGCCCCAGAACCATGGCGAACTGTACTCTCAGTGGAGGTGACGACGATAGTTGACGTCCAGAGGTGACCTTACGAGGATGGAAAAGAGTTGATCTCACGAGCACTCGACGGCACATCTTCAAAGCGGTAAGATCCGCGAGCGATGGCAACCAGTTCCCCCAGGATGGCGTATTCTAATTTAAGTTTGATGCTGTAGGCGACGGGCTTGAACAAGACCTCGACGGCATAATAACCAACGTACTCGGTGACCACGACGATCACGCTCAGAATGAGGATGAGAATGTTGATCATAAGCAGCTGTTGCAAGATGCCATGACGCCGCCCTTGGGGCCGCAACCGCAGCAGCTTGACAGTCTCCCACACGTAGATGCCCCAGATGATCAGCTCCTGGATGCAGAACCCCACCAACTCGATGCGTTCGAAGATGTTGTAACCTTGGGCGAAGTTGCCGTAGGGGGTGGACACGGCACCATACAGAAGCACGATCGCTGGTATGTGGAACAGCACGGCGTCAACCACGATCATCCATAGGACTCGACGCAACACCTTGGTGTTCTGCAGCACCAGATACAGACGTGACCAGAGAACCATTGACTGGCCCGTCACCATACCACACCAGCTGAACATGATGAGGGTAACACAGATATAGGCAGAGACCCCCGTTGGAAAGAAAAGAAGGACATAGCCCAGACAGTGGGGGATGATGGAGGCCGACGCGACCAGCAAACTCCAGAAATAACAGCCATGCCATCGCTTAAAGGAGACGAAGCACAGGATAACGAGCTCGATGGCATTGTACCAGGCGATGGCCGCAAAGGCGGAGAAGATGTGCGCTTGTACCTGTTGCTTGGCGGAATTTCCGTGGATAAGTGACGTTGTGAGAGTAGAGGCGCTATCGGTCGACATGGACAGAGAGGGCAGATTGCTCTATCCGCGATGTTCCTAAGACATTGGGCTGACACTTTGCAGAATCTCTGAGATTCGACTGGATGCGCACCGGGATAATCAGACCTTGCACGGACTTACTCCATCCTAGCCAGATTAGGTGACGTCAAGGGGCTGGTCAGGCTATCGATAACGATGCTGACACAACAATGGCAACAGGTCTCCTACTCATTTTCAAGACATGGCGCGCTGTTCACCGAACCCCAATTTCCTGCGGATTTCAGCGATGACCCTGATGGCTCTGCGGATGAGGATCTGGTGACAGTTCCACCCGATTTTGGAGGGCTGGAGAAAACTAGTGTCGAGTAGACTGCCAATATTGCGATTTCTTGTGCTTGGCGTTCGATCGTGTGTCTAGAACAGCCCATTCTCCGTTTTCGGAAAACACCCGCGACAGCCTGCCTTCACAAATGTGGATCGGATGACCTCCACCAATAACCTACACTAAGAGCATACGGCTATTATCTATAAAAGGACAGCATGATGGCTAGTAATTCTCCTCGAGACTGGCGTAGTGGAGCCGAAAAAAGAGTGAATCGAACAGCCGTGCTAAGATGTTCCATTTATCAAATAACCAGCTGGTTAAAGCGATCTCTTGTACCTACCCTCAAACTCTAGCCCTGACTCGTGAACTTGCTTTCCCGGTACGTGAATGTTTATGTCGGGGCTTTTGCAACATATCTTGGGTTCGGGCAGAGATTCGGCAAAGAAGTTAAGTGAAAATCACCGGAGAGAATTGCTGCTACGGGGCCAATTCGCATAGAGCAAGGGTTATTACGCATGCGACATATAGGAAAGGTCTACGGATCAACGGAATATCTTGTTCGACAAATAAACCGGTTCAAAGAATTGATTCATATGGAGTAATCTGCAGCCATGAAAGTGAACCAACGGGTATGCATCGGAGGCCTTATGCGATAAACGTGACATGGGGGATGGAGAAGGTCCTCAATTGCTCGAAAGGACTAAAAGAGTTGATTGAGATTTAGCAGCGAAGTCTTCTGTAGATGCGATGTTTGATTTGAGTATTGACAAACTCGCATTCGAGGTTTAGTGATTCGCTGATTGATGGATTGGGTGCTTAAGTGCATTGTGCAATTTCTATTAACAAAAACCAACAGTAGTAAATCAAGAGCTGTTCTGAAAAACATACGGTATTGTAAATGCACACACCAATCAAGTTGTACACTCACAGATTTTCAATCCCCAAGGATGTCATCCTAGTTCAAGGAGGGAATCTGTCGACGGCGCTGTATGAAAGAACTCGAGTCCGACAGAGCAGCAGCAGCGTGCATGTCAAACTTCCGCTTGGCCATCCGAGAACCGGACGGGGTCGAGATCTGACCCTGCCCTATGATCGCCCATTCGGCAACAGTCGCGCCAACAGGCTCTTGAGCTTGATTGCCGACAATCAAGAGAGAAGCGTACTTAGTAGCCGGGACGGGGTCGGCAAGCGTCACGTTGGTGGTGTTGCCTGAAGGGATGGCAATGACGTCCAGGTTGGTGGTCTGCGGGTTGTAGGGGTCAGAAAGAGCGATGTTGTGAAGTGACGCCACAATCTGATAGTTCGAGCTTTGGCTGTAGTAGGCCATGGTAGGGTCACCGAGAGTCTGGTTGTGGAAGATGATCGTCGCGTTGACGGGGGGTGCTTGGGCCCAGTCGAAGTAGAAGCCCGAGACCATGGAGCCAGCTTCCGAGCCGAACGAGACAGTCACAGCGCTCATGTTTGCCGCCCAGGCGGGCTGCCACTTGGTCGAGGAGGCTCCATCCACCACGGAAATAGGGAACTGGCCCGGTTGGAAGGTGTTCACAGACTGAACAGGCTGGCACTGGACGAGGTTACCAGTGATGGTATCGCGTGAGCCGGTCTGGAGGTTGGGGATGACGAGAGAGCCCGATGCCGGGAGACTGTACATGGTAAAGTTTGTCTTAGTGCCGGAGCGCACGGGGATCGTCTGGTTGGCAAAGCGCTGGTCCGCGGTATCAAGAACCTGGGCATCGGTGGCCCGGCTGATGATAGTGTGGGTGTAGTTGGACCAGGCATCAATGGGCCATCCATGCCAGTAGAAAGTTCGGTATTTCAAGTACGGGATCTGGGGCGGCAGGTTGGGGTAAACGTGCAAGTAGTCGTCGGGGAGCAGACGCAGTCCCAGGTAGCCGAACAGGGCAACCTGGTTAGCACCACCGTGACCAGTCAGGAACGGGAACGCCGGGTGGGTGCCTCCGTTGATGGCAGCATCGTCGATCAACTGCTCCGACATCTGGAAGAAAGGAGCTCGGATATATGGTTTGTACGAGTATTGACCGTAGGTGTAAGCCGAGCATCCAGAGGGCGACATCTCGTTGGCCACGATCGAGAAGATAGCCCAGGTCATAGCCGGTCCATCAGGAGACTGCTTGTTGGCGTACTATTACACTTGTTAGGCTTGTAGTCATGCGTTGATCTTTGAACAACTCACGTAGTCTAGGTCGTTCAACGGGTCCTGAGTGGCGTAGTCTAGAGGGTAAGTGTCCAAAATAACGTCCGCTTGCTTGACCACAGCACTTCCATTCATAGTAGTGAATTCGAGGGTCACGCCGTTCTCACGGAGAACCAAGACATTGGCGGCCATCTCGTCCCAGGTCGAATTCGTCTCTATCCCAAACTGCTGACGGAAGGCATTGGCATACGACAAAGTCTCAGCGACGAGGGGCATAGTGAAACCTCCCGCATCGACATTGTTCGCATACTCGTCCTATATAGTGTCAGATTCTGCTGACCAAAACCGAATGCAAAACTTACGGGGTCGGTCATATTGGTCAGAGTCCAGTACGACCCATTACGCTGCAGCAGGTCGGCATACAGAGTGGCAACAGAGTTATAGATGGGGAAAAGGCTTCCCTTGAAGGTGTCATTGTCACCGCTGGTAACCCACTGGTTGACCAAGGCCATGCCAATATCACCGTTGATGTGGTACTCGTAGTCCCAGCAGGGACCGGTGGCCGTGCAGTTGCCAAATCGTCCGCTGGTCCAGGGGTAGACAGCTGCCGCAGGAGAAAAGTCGGTTTGGTTCTGGGAGCCGGCGTATTTAGTCTTGATGTTTTCCTGTGCTTGCCCATACTTTGCCACACGGTAGTTCGTGATGCGCTGGGCGGCCTCGGGGTGAGAGGCAGTCAGCCCAGGTTGCATCCAGACATCAGCATCCCAGAAGATCTGTCCAGCATAGGAGTCCGAAGTCAAGCCACCCACAGAGATACTGTCCAGATTCACGGGGGCGTTTCTAGCTTCCTTGATGGCGTTCTTGCTTGCAGTGTTCTGTAGCAGGTAGTAGGTGTTGGTCACGGCGATCACAGCAGAATCAATGATGTGCATGTCCGCGGGCAGAGTGCCATTTTGAGGGAATGCATAGCTCTCTACCGAGTTATCGGGCATGACGGTGGCCCACTCCGTGACGTGCGAACGGAGAGACTTGGCATAGCCATTCTTCATTGCGGCAGCGGCCTCCTGCTGAGCGACGGACTTGGGATCTGCAAAAGCGTCGGTAGATGCTCCGCCGACGTACTTGGTGACGCGCACTGGCTTGCCTGCCTGGAACTTCACATCCACAGACTGGGCGATAGACGAGGCGTTGGTGCTGACATACGGTTTGTTAAAGGCAAGCTTGGCGGACGACATGTCCACGCCCGAGCTGCCGTCCATACCGGCATAGATGTAGGCAGTGACGTTGGCAATTCCATTGGGCCGCACAGCCGTGTAGATGGCACCGCTGTCCTCGCCGGACTCAACAAAGTCAGTGCGCACAGCGGCGGTACCTTCAAGGACATTGACGATCATTCCCTCGGCATTAGCGGAGGAGACCACCTCCATGTCCACCACAGCCTGGTTGATGTACAGCTTGTTGGTGAACAGGCGGTAAGTGATTTGGAAGGAGCTCTTGTTCCCTTGCGGCGTCCACTGGTAGGTCCACTGCAGGATACCAGCCTTGAAGTCGTAAGTCGACTGGAATTTTGAGATGGTGCTTTTATCGGCTGTGGCGTCCAAGTAGTTACCGTCACCGAGGTCCAAGACTAGCCCACCCCAGTGGGGTATACCGCTGATAACGCTGTCGCTGCCATACTGTGCCAGCCAATCGAAGTTGTCGGAGTCGGTATGAGCCTGAGAATCAAAAAAGCCAGCGATAGTCGCAAATGTCTGGCGTCTAGAGTACAGAGGCCAGCCGCTGATCACATCACCGCCGTCGTCTGCCTGATCCATTTCAAAGAAAGGGCCAACGCTGGCGACGTTGATACCAAGGTACCCGTTGGCCATAGAGCCACGTGACTGGAAGCGACCCTGCTCCAGGTTGGTTGTGGTAAGGAGCCAGTTGTCTTCATCCCATGTAACACCGTCAAAGTCCGTTTGATATGCATTGCTGCTGGGCTTGGCCTGCTGGCTTTGGCCAGTGTACCTCTGAACGCTCTTGTTGATGCGGCTTTGCGAGGAAGCCCCATCCACGAGCGCGCTGAGATTCAATAGCAGTGGCAACGTGGCCCATGCAAAAGGCTTTGGATACATTACTACTTAGTTACGGAGGACACAAGGGGAACAGGGAAGTCTATTGCTTACTTTGAACTGCATCTTGCAGGCAGCGCGTTTAGTATCCAACGAGTGTGAGTGTCGTGTAGGCCCCGAGAAGCGACCGTCAAGAATAATGTTAAACAAATATCAGCGTAGTGAAGATCTAAAGGGTAATAGTAGAGTCTTAAATGAGTGACACAAATGGAGATGCACGGATGGCGGGAGAAGTTTATCCTCCGCGCCAAAAGCAGAAAAGCATATTCTCGATCTATCCAGGAACCACGTGGCGCTGATTGCTCAGACTGAGCACGTCTGGGTTCCATGGGTTGTGGGGAAATAGTCAAAGCTTATCCTGGCTTGCCGTTGGGGTTACAGCAGGTCCGTCGTGGTTGATGACACGAGATGCAGACTGAAGTTACTGTAG